TTTTACAAATGTACAGGTGCTTTGAAAGAAAACGCAACTGACAAATTATTACCAATGGCTCTATAAAACAAAGAGCCATTGGCAATAATTACCAAGTAAGAGCCATAAAACAAATAGAAAGTATCTTATGTCAGATCCACCCAAAGCACACACAGCGCTGAATAGCTGCTCAATTGATATTCTCCTAATGTACTGAATTCCTGGTTTGTTCCCGAGTCTTTCCGGCTCCACAGTTCACCAAGAAGACAAAAGTAAACTTCCCAGTTAGTTAAAAGCAAGTACTATAAATAAGCCAGTGACAGCTCCTCAGTGTAAGTCACTGTAGCCTCATTTAGCATCACCGGACCTGCTCTGCTTTACACTCACACAAGGTCTGCCTTAGGATCTCTGACCTGTCCCAAGAGCGCACAAGTCAGCAGAAACACCACTGCTGAGAAAAGAGGGTGTGCAACCACCGCTGTGGAAGAGCACGTTACTGATGGCCTGTCTGACCTTTACTCCCTGTGTGAGCTGGGATTTATTGCCAGCACCTGTGTTTCTGTGGCTACTCCACCACGATCAGGTTTTGAAATCAAGTCACACTTCCAGCAAGCAGCTTTCAAAGCACACCTTTCACACACCCAAGGACATGAGCTTCGAAAAGGAATTCACACTAAGCAACCTCTTCCACGGGCCACTGAGCAGAGCACCTGGCTACAAATGCTGGGTTGAAGCAGGACTGCATCCTCCCGCTTTCTTTTCTTTTCCCCTCTATCAACCTCTGTCTTTTTAGGCAGGACAAGAGCAATACTCAGGACTGCACTTTCAAGGAAACCACAGGTCAGGAGGTGTTTTCACTCAATGCCCACAGACCGAGGACATGTTCTCCTCCAAAACAAAGCTCCAAAGTATAAAGTTACCAATACACGATTGGTGCCACCATTTCCCACTGTTAGCATACTGGCTAATTTGGTATCCACCAAATGGAAGATCTTCTGTTTTCATGAATTAACTCTTCATTGATTTGAAGAGTTAAGATTTGAGAAGGCAGAGTTCAGTTCACTGCTCTGCCAGACTGCCTTTGAGCTTTGGGCAAGCTTATCATCTCCATGCTTTGTTTCTCAACTGCAAAATGGGCCTTTATCGTGCTCCCCTCTTCTCACTTGGAATTCTACTTTACATCCTTTTATCAATTTGAAATGCTCCTCATTGGGCAATATACTCACACCTCTTGCTAGAGAGCCCAATCTTCCCTCAGATTTTCTCCAGCAGTGAACTTGACCCTATTAGCTCTCCTTTTCCCACAAGAACTCCCAAGTAATGGCAAATACAAGGAGTTGCAAGTTCAATTGCTAAGGAGATGCCTAAGCAACTTAGGAGGACAAGTTCTACTGATTTTTACGTTATTTTCTACTGATTTACAAGTTCTACTGATTTTCAACAAGGAGTTGTCCGAGTGTCACTTGTGCATAAGTGATGATTTCACCATAGCTGCCTACTATGGATTTATAATACATAATACTACGCGTTATTTATAATAATATTGTAATAATTATAGCAATATTATAATAATAAAGATAATATAAGAAGAAAATAAAATATAATATTATTATAATATTATAATAATAGCTATCATTATAATTTATAGTACCATAATGATTATTATAATAATATAATAACTATTTATAATACATAATACTATGTATTACCTGTATTTAATGGTAGTTGGCATACATTCTGCTTGGATTCAGCCAGAGTTCTCAGGGATCACAAAATCAGGAACAGGTCAAAAATAACCATGACCACATGCAAACAAATACTCACTGCAGACAAAGAACAGATGCAAATTCCCTTGCACCCACACCATCAGTGTCTTGAGTCAAATATGCCCCAGATATCACTTCCAAGTCTGGGCTTCAGCTGTGCTCTTGGGGATGATGGTGTTACTGGACACTACTGCAAATTTGCCTTGCTCTGGACTGGGTCCATAACCCTGAGCTTAAAGTCACATCTCCCTCCTTGCTGCCTCAGACAGCTAGACATGGTCTGTTCAAATTCCCATCTCCTTCATGATCTGTCAGTGTGATTAAGTCAGTGGGATCACTCTAGGGATATTCCCTTCCACTCTGTTCCCCCTTCCCCTTTTATCCTCTCACAGGACAGGTGAGGCTAAATCCAGAGAAAAAATTTCTGGAAAACAGCATATTCTATTGCATTTCCCCTGTTCCATACACCATCACCTATAGCACAGGATGGCACTTACTCTTTCTGTGTGTGTAGGTATATGTGGGTTTTTTTGTGTGTTTGTGATGGAAAGGTAATGGTTAAGATTACATTACATTACTGAAGGTATGAAGGTAAATGGTCAGAAAACAACAAAACCCCCCACAATGTAAGTTTCTACTTAAAATGAAGAATACATAGGTTGCAGGGGAAACAGCAGAGGGACGTTTGACATGTGTGAGATACGACTGGATATTCCCACAAGTACTCTCAAAATGGCTTTCTTTTTCCAATTCAGCTCAGGCCATTCACTTCCCTGCAGCCATATCACAACGCAAAACAACTCTTTCACCATCTCAGAGGGCCCAGAGGCTGAGTCAAATGGAAACATTGCTGCAGCATGACAACTATATCGTGTCACCATCACCAGGTCCAATCTTCTTTGGAAAGAAGTTCACTGCGACAAATGCCTATAGGGCAGAAGGTGCCCTTCCCAGTCTCTACTCTCTCTGCACATAACTGGGCTTGCCTGCACACCACTGAGAACAAATACTGATAGGTCAGAAAGGATTTTTCTGCCCCTTAACATTATCCCATACAACCTCGACACGTGGAAGAAGACTCCCTGCACAAATTGGTGAGGCCTTCTGCTCACAACTGAATCACTCCATGTGGTCAGGATGTGAGGCAGCATGCGGTGTGTGAATGCTGCTTGCTGAACTGCTCACAAAGGCCTCCACCTGCCTCTGATCCCCCTTTCACATCTGTCATAACCACTTGTTCAAGCTCTAAATTTCCTCTTGGCAGAGACATTCTCCTCGTTATCAGTCTCTACAGTCTCTCTCTGCAGGGCTCAAATCAAGACTTCTGGCAGAGGTGTTACTCCAACTGCAACCAAAACCTCAAAAAGGAAGGGATGGATTTGACCAGAGAGTGAGCATGTAACCAGCAACAGTGCCTGGGAACAGGACAATTAGTTCTGGTTCTGGTAACTGTATTTCAACATCATAAAGATTTAAAGCAATGACAGTGTCACAGCTCATTCTTTTCAATTGGAAATAATCCTGTACCACAGGTAAAACTCATGCCAGGCATGCCGGAGACTGGAAACAGCTGGCTGCAGGAAGAGCATGTGTGTGGGCCAAGTCTCATTTGCATCACTCAATTAGCTTTCCCTCGGCTATTGCAGAGATGGGTTTCCTGATGGGGCTCACTGGACTAGGCTCTTACTTCAGGTCAGCAGTGGTTTTCCCTGGCCCTTTGCCTTGTGCCAATGTGCCTTCAACATAACGCAGCCAGACAGTCCATCCCCTCCCTCCACTGGAGGTTGCGAGGTAAGATAGTTTCCTTGGGAAGGTCTAGGTAAGGATAGGAGAGTGAAAACCTTCACTGATAAATGGGTGAGACTAAGTTAATTTGCACAGTCTGCAATCCAGGTTGAACTGCATGAATCCACTTGCAAGGGACACAACTGTGGTTATGGATGATACAAATGCAAGACTGGATAATGCAAAAGGGCTTTCTGTAGCAGGCTGCCTATAGTCTGCTGCCTAGTCACCAGAAGGATGAAAAACGATATCTACTGGTCACATTACTAGTAGTATTATGGCCTGTCACCCACTGCAGAGAAAGGGAAAGCAGCCTCAATGATATAGGATAGTTCAGCTTGATTAGCCCCTGTGAAGCAATACTGGATTTAGGATCCGAAGCACCTCATTCCAGAGCCACTCCAACAGTAAGGAAATCAAAGTGATTCTGGATATATTGATCTTCTTCCTCAGGAGCTGCACATACATATTTAAGGTGCTCCAGATAAACGCAACACGACACAGATGTTAGCGGGCACAAGGCCAAACAACAGATCTCAGTAAATAACTAAGCTACTCCTTCTCTTCCACCTCCCTCCACATTTATTTTTGTTTAGCTGCACATCCAGCTTGTTCCGGGGGGCAAGGGAGAGCAAGGGCTGCTTAATTAAAAACGTGCAGCTGGTCAAAGAAGCAAAAATCACAGCAGATGAACTAACAAGCACCTCAGTGACGCACTGGCTACGGTGCGCTCCCAGTGCCATCGTGTGGCGAAATGTGCTTAACACAAGGGGTACCCGAAGCAGAAAAGCCGGCGGACACACAACCCATAACTCAGCAAGGAGGTTCTCCCTACCTCGTAAACCATGAAGGCAAAGCTCAAGTCAGCAAGAAGCTGGAACTGAAATACAGCCCAGCACGTTAATTTACTGCTACCTCTCCTGCTTAGTTTTATACGGTCATTTTTCTTGAAGAAAGAAGATTTATATTTAAATATGGCTGGAATTACAGACGTTTAAAAGTACAAAACAGCACATACTGCATGATCACAGCAAGGCAGAAAAGCTTAAAAATCAACTGGCCAGGCTGGAAAAAGACAGTGTATTTGACCTTCAGGTGTAGTAAGTGACGACAAATCCTGTGTTTGGATGCTCTGCCCTCAGCACATGAGTGCAGACTACTCACTGCAGGCCATCCACAATCCCAGCCTCAGTCTCAGAGATACAATGAGGATTTTCCAAAGTAAACCAGAACTTCCATAATCCCTAGGAACAGCTAATGCCTAAGCACAAGCCTAAGAGTGTTCTCAGAAATGTCCTCTGCCTGGGTGAGGCATTGAACTGGGTTTTAAGACAACACTGCTTACTCCAAGCACTGAAATAAACTTCTTAGCATTGACTACATCTGTGCTCAGGGCTTCCCATGGGCTTCCCAACAGGATGCCCAGAAGGACCATTGTGTCCTAGGATAAAGCTGGTGGGTTTTTCTTACCTGTTCACTTCCTTCAGGATTTTCTCCATGTTCACAATGCCACGCATCTTATACAGGAACCACTTGTCAATGGCTGTGAGTTTGTGAATGACATCCACTGGGACTTCATTATCCAATGCCTGCCAAACAAAAGACAGCACCAAACAGCCCCTTTAATACATGCTTCATAAATCGAGATTTAGTCTGCAAATAGGTAGGAGCAACTGGATAGCACAAAAACATAGAAAGTACTGTAGAATAAGCTGGACAAATAAAGGTTCATCGAACCCACCTTGTCTCCTGCAGCAACAGAAAATGGGGCCCTCAAGCAGTGTAGAGAGGCACCACGTACCAAAAGCTGGCTTCTGTTTAAGCAAGAGAGGTAATTTGCAGTCAGCAGCCAAACTTAAACTGATGGTAACAAGGCTTGGTGACCACTGAGTATATGCCTTAAGAAACTACAGGGGTGCATATGCAACCTGCAGTGCCGACTCCTTCACCTGCACCTACTCCCAGTCAAGTTGCCTAAATCTCAGACCCTCTGGCAACCTCCTAGCTGCAAGTGCTAGGCAGGAAGGACAGATTCTCAGTTAAAAAGGAACTCTTTGCTTTAGAGCATAAATATTGATTTACCATCGAAATACAAAGCTGAATCAAAGCACGTGGGCTTGAAATACCTCTGAAGCAAGGGAAAGGGATGCCCCATCCCTGGCAGTGTACAAGATCAGGCTGGATGGGGCTTGGAGCAACCTGGTCTTATGGAAGGTGTCCCTGCCCATGGGAGGGGCTTGGAACTGGATGAGGCTTTAGGTCCCTTCCAACTCAAACCATTCTAGGATTCTATGTTTCTATGTAAGTCCAGTCCTGAGGCAACACTGCAAAATGTCAAAGCTATGGCATAACTTGAGCTTCTCTCACTGTATCTCAAGTTAATGTCAAGATCATTCAAATTTACCTGCATTATCTTGCTGGGGCAATAATTTTTTTTTTGTTTTGATCCAACTATTTGCAAGCATGGGGTAAAAAGGAACCCCACAGAGGTACTATTCATAAGACAGTGGATTACAATCATATATATATATATATATATATATATATATATGCTAGAGAGCCCCCTAGCATGATACAGTTGTATTTTCTACCAGCAATATTCCTTGGGTCTCACCAGTGGTGCACAGTTACAACTCTCTTGATAAAACAACAAACAACTAAAGGGTTTCCAAGCAGCTTGGCCGAGTATCTTTCTCACAACCTTTCTCTTGTCCTGAGAGATAAGAAGGTACTGACTTGAATATCCTGCTTGCTTACAAGCAGCAGTGAAAATCTCCAATGCACTTTTTGTTCCTTTAGAGTAACCAGTCACTTACACACTGAACCTTCAGCTAGTGCTTAGCACCCACCAGCCACTGGTCTTCCAAAGACAGGAGGGAGCCACAGCAGGACAGCATGACTTCAGATCCCTCCTCACCTTCAAGAGCATCCCACCCAGTAGACACTGGCCCCATGCTAGGAAGCAAAGGAGTTTATAGGACTGCCTTCACATGGTGAGTGAGGGAGCAAGCCTGGTCTGCAGGCAAAGCAAGGGAGGGCAGTTGAGCTCTGTGCTGTGTCTGGGGCCAGTACCCTTGCTCCTTCAGTCCCATCCTTGCTCCTCACACAAGGAAGTATTTAGCTTCCTTTAGTGAACAGCTAGAAGACCAAAGCCCTGGTGTGAAACAGAGCATGGACCAAATCCACAGCCTATGTTTTCTGATGCCACTTGCATACAACCTTAAGAGGGCAGAGAAAAGATGTGATATAACCTGAGCAGCCCTGCTCATCAGGCAGTTCCATCCCCAGAGTTAGCCACTCTGGCCAAGAAACAAGTCTCATCTATTTCAGCCTCTTTCCTAGTGCCTTCTTTCACATTACAACAGGGAGTCCCATTACAACAGCAATCGCTCTGAATGGCAGCTGAACTCCCGTCCCTTTCACCTGAACAGTTACTGTTTTCATCATCCAACAGACAAAGGAGAGAGAAAAAGTAAAAAGCCTTGGAGAGCTGACTAGTGGGGCTTAAGGGGGAAGAGAAGACATACAAGGAGCTCTATCCTGTTCCAAACAAAGCTGACGGATAATGGAAACTAACTGTTGGCTTTTAAATGTCAGCAGGCTGGAAAGGGATTTCCAGGCAGGCAGCCCCAGCTGCCAGAACTACCTGTCACTGATACTACTTGCCTGTTATTAACAGGGATGAATTAATGCACTGTGTCTGGCTCAGGCAGCTCTTTACAGGGAGGGATTAAGACTCTGATCTTGCTTTTTTTCAACAGCTCCCAGGGAAAATGCCACCAGCTGGGAACACCCAGAGTGTTCAGTGTGACCCAAACTCACCTCTACCCCCCCAGATCCCCTGTGTTACAATGGGGCTAAGATTAACCTTTCATAAAAGCTCTCTGAGCCACGCAGAGACAAGAAGCAAGACTTCTCTCTCAGCCACAATAACAAAGACCAAGCACAGCTGCTGAAGGATGTTCTACACTTAAGCACTTCCCCAGCTTGAAAACCAAGAGTCAACAGCTGGACAAAGCCACACATTTACAGAACATCTTATAAATGGCCTGAACAAGCAGCACAAAAGGAACAAGCTATGTGAAAACCTTGTTACAAATACAGCACAACCTCAGTTCCCTACACTCATGTGAAGGATGTAATGAAATATATCAACACATGAGCACAAAGGGCTTAAAGACTCCACTACACAAAGTTAGGGGCACAAAAACTGGTGAATAGGTGTTCCCCGCCAGGAAGGTTTGCAATCTTGAAAAAACCAAGAGGTAAGCGTGAGCTATAAAAGGCAACTGTTCCATCCTCTTCATAGAGGGTATGGACAGATGGACAAGTTAGCTGCAGCAAAACCACAGCATGCAATTGCACCTACTTTCTAAAGTAACTAATCCCACATTTGCCGTGTGATATACACAGGAAAACACCATGGAGCTGAAGGAAGAAGTCATTTCACACCCAGGCTTCCCCTCTTACCAAGACACCCTGAAAGATGAAGTGATTTGCCCAGTGCGACAGGAGAGTGGTTAAAAGAATATAAAGGAAGTTGATCTTATTTCAAGGAATAGGAAATTTCCTGTATGCTAAATTTCAGATAGAATTATATTTTTTGTATTTGTTTGTTTCAAGCCCATGCCAACACGGCAACTGCAAAAAGGCAGTGCTCTCAGGAGACTGCAGCTTGCCATGCTTTATCATCCTTTGTTCAATTCTCAAAAGCATCTTCAATTTCTCTTTCCTCCCTTCCTATAAATTAATGGTAATCTGCAAAAACAGCCAACTTTGACTGAAAGACTAGTGTAAATCAGGGCTGAATACTCAGCAAACAATTATATCATAGGAACAAACAAAGGAAAGCGGTCCAGGTCTCCATCAACACTCAGCTAAAAGTACCAGAACACAGGAATGCACCTGAATTCAATGAGCACTGGCTAAGATTGTACCAAAAGACAAACATGTTACATGAGTACAGAAGATGCAGGAAAATACAGATGTCAGTGGGACAAACTGAAGTCATGTATTCACCTGCTATTGTGTTGTGCAGAGGAAATTACATGCGACAGAATATCTGTACTTCAAAATCAAGGATCCTACACAAGGTGGTCCCAGTGTGCTTACAGAGGCAAACCAGGAGATAAACAATACTCAATCTCTGCCACCTAAGTTGGCCCAATCTAGTTGCTATAATGCAGGGGGCCCAGGTCAAGAGCTTTCTGTCTTTTGTTACCTTGCCTATTGCATATATTCGTGTGCTGGATGGCTCAGAGAGATCCTTCTGGAGATCTACAACAGCTGGCCAGGCTTTATTCACAGGCAGATGCGAAGTGAAGCCATCTACAGAGGGGTGGCACATTCTTAGGGCCTTTTGGAAGCTCTCTTCAAAAGTACGTCCAATAGCCATGACCTGCAATGGAGAGCAGTGTTATGGAGACCATGTTAGCAGTGCTGAGCTGCTGCCCAGCTGTCCTCTGAATAACAGAGGAGTGACAATTTAAAAACATAAGACAATGTAAAAAGGACATGGAACTGTTGGAACAAGTCCAGAGGAGGCCACAAGAATGATAAGGGGGCTGAAGCACTCCTGTACAAAGACAGGCTGAGTGAGATACCTGGGGCTGTTCAGCCTGGAGTAGAGAAGGCTGCGTGCAGACCTCACAGTAGCCTACACAGGGCTACAGGGATGCCAGAGAGGGACCCTTCATCAGGGATTGTAGTGACAGGACAAGGGGTGATGGGTTCAAACCTAAACAGGGGAGATTTAGGTTAGAAATAAGGCAGAAGTTCTTCCCTGTGAGGGTGCTGAGGCGCTGGCACAGGGTGCCCAGAGAAGCTGTGGCTGCCCCATCCCTGGCAGTGTTCAAGCAGTGTTCAAGGCCAGGTTGGACACAGGGGCTTGGAGCAACATGCTCTAGTGGAAGGTGTCCCTGCCCATTGCATGGGGTTAGGACTAGATGATCTTAAGGTCATTTTCAACCCAAACCATTCTATGATTCTATGATCTAAACCATGAAGATGGACATTCAGAAAGATTACAGCCTTTGGACCTTCCCCCTGTGATAGTCCTGCTAACTTGAAGACAGGCACAGCTGATTGAGCTTTGGGAGTACCAGTTCTAGGCCTGACTGCTAGCATTACCAACAGGGAGTTTCGGATGAGTGATTCCTTTCTGCTTTCATCTCCCTATCTGTAAAATACAGGAAGCTGCTGCTCTCCTCTGTAAATTCCTTTGAAGCACTTTACAGAGGGAAACATATGCTGCAGCATGGGTGTTGTAACATAGAAAGATATTTCTGTTCAACAACCTGTTAGAGATAGAAATTCACAGTGGGAATTTTAAGGTTCAGATCAAATCTGCGCCTCTTCCTTTAAATTACATTTAACAGTGACTCTCCCCTGTGAGGGCTCTCTTAAAGGATTACTCCTCCTAGGCATGGCAGGACTGGGGTTTCCCTCCTTCAATCTTGACATCACATCTAATAGGAAAGCAAGCCTTTCTCTGTGGAAATCTGTGAGGTAACAGAGCTCTTTCTCCAGTTTCTACATTTTTATTTCCCAGTGCAGTGAAACCCTCACAGCATAAAACCCTTCCCAAACACAGCACTGAAAATGTCAAAAGAATAACATTGTTCTCTCTTTTCCCACTGCTCCAGGCCCACTGCCCAGCCCAACAGAGTTCAGGAAAAAAACAGAGACCAGGCCAGGCTGTTTGATTAATGAAAGAGCAGTAGGGGCTGCAATCTGGCTTCAAGTTCAGGCCAGGGGAGATGGCTGTGCCATACCAATATAGACATAGCAGCAAGAAGCTCTTTGCTTCAGACACCCTCTCCTGCTCCCAGGTCCTGCAGACTAACCTTTCTACTGAGTAGCTCCACCAGCTGCAAACTGCATCTCTTAAACTTCTCCATCCCTGCTTCAGTTCACCCCCCAGCAGTCACAGACCTGCACTGTTGGAGCACTGACTCTTCCTGCATCTCCCTCCTCCCTTTACCCAGCAAACGGCCTTGAGAAGGACACGGGGTTCACGCAGTTTTGCTTTTGTGATACATGACCTGCGAAGACTCAATATTTCCTCCTCCTAATGGGAATGGCCCGGAAGTGTTTACAGCTGATGGTGCACAAGGCAACTGTATTTAAGAACCCCAGCTCTACAGAACAGTCCAACAACCCCTAAGCAGTGAGAGTTATTATCAGTAAGAATCAACTCACTGAAAAAAAAGTCAAACTCATTGCCATTAAAAGCCAAAACTGCCACTGGAAAATCAAGTTCTAATTAATCCTTCCAGTTGTATGATGGCTTGTTGCTTGAGCAAGGTAGAACTGATGTCAGGAAGGTTTCACATGTCAAAACAATTTAATAAAAGAGCTACTTGAAAAGCATTAGGTAAACACAGCAGCTGAAAAAATACACTTTAATTCTTTTGCTTTGGTAGCTGGTAGGAAATTAACAAAGTGGGTAATGTGCCATTTTCCCTCATTTCTTTCCTTTTAAAGTAAGGGCCTAAAAATGCTATTATTGTCCCAGACACCTTAAAATAAGGGTTTAAAAGTCACACTGTCATGTTCAGGATACAAGAGACTTAATCACTTAGAGAAGTCAAGACTTCAGAACTAGATTTCGGGTCGTATTTTTACATACATGTGCATTTCAAGAGCAGAATTAGGCTGAGACTTGGCGTATGGTTTTAACAGAGAGGACAAATGACTATGGGAACACATGAGAGTTGTAGCTCATCAGCATCACCGGTAATCTTAACAGGCCACAACTCTTGATGTTATATTTTAATTCACCACTACTACAGAACCCTCAACAAAAATAATTTTGAGAGTCCTGTAGCAAGTGTTAAGAATGAAGAATGAATGAAGTCAACCTCAGGTGATGCAGTGGTCTCCTCCCTTAGGAATCAAACCATTTAGGAATCCACTCTGTGATATCCAAGATTACACAATCCTAACTCATTGTCATTAATTATAGTACTGGATAAAAATTATTTGAGCTGGATAAATACCTTCAAAAGCCATTAGGTCCCTGAAAAGAGATGATATGAGGGTTTCCAAGAAAAAGAAATGAGTTTCCCAAGTGGTGGAAAAGAAGAGAAAAAGAGAGTCTTGCACTCACCTCTCCCACACTCTTCATGGAACTTCCAATCTGGTTGGACATATGCTGAAAACGGTCCAAATCCCAGCGGGGTATCTTGGTAACAACATAATCCAGGCTGGGCTCAAAGCAGGCAGAAGTTTTTCCTGTCACCACATTCTTGATTTCTGGCAAAGGGATCCCCAAGGCAATTTTGGCAGCAATAAACGCTAATGGATACCTGGCATAGAGGACAAGTAGAGAATAGCAGAGTGGGAAGTACTTTGCTTTTGCAAATCCCAGGAATGGATCAAATTAAACACATGTGAGGTGATTTTCCCTCCTCAACACAACAGAAGGTTACTGTGCTTGAATGCAGGCAGGCTCATCCAGCTTCCTACCTTAATAAGTTGGAGAGCTACCTACCGAGATCTGGGACTTATTATCTGCAAAGCCACCTGTGTTAAGTACCTGTCATGCCCACAGTGAGACCACACACAGAGATCTGTTTTGCTGCAAGACTACCATCCAAAAAGAATGGCATCCAATCAAATGTCCACTATCCAACATCATGGCTTACCTCCAGTCTGCTGTGGCACTTCAACAACCACAAGAATTGTTGAGAACTGAAAAGTAGAGATTAATTTGTGCCTCTCTACAGCATCTGCAAAGTGTTATTAAGCCAATTTTTAAATAGCCTGCTCTGACCATCCTTATCTTGATTAGTTTATGATTAGCCAACTAAACAAAGGCAGCTAGCAACACCATTTGCATCAATCTGACAGACAGCTCATTAATAACTGTGTCCTCTGGGTCCTAGAGATGATTTGCAGCCAACATATGGATACAGTGGATATGCTTTGTAAGGACAGCTATTAGGCTCCCCCACACACACCTCCTGGGAGTTTTTCCACTTGTAGTAACAGCAGCAGCAGGTTGGATTAGACCTGGAGGGCTCACTAACCCCTTCTTCCATCTCCCAGCAGGACTGACTCTCCAAGGGTCAAGCCTAGCAGATGCTGACAAGAGTTGTTCTTAGCAGCTTCTCATGCATAAATCTGCACCTTACTGTCCTGACTGCTCCAGAGCTCTCCCTAACAACCAACTTCAGTTTTCCTTGCTGCAAATCAGGCTTACACATCCTTGTCTTAACTGAATGGAAAGCAGATGCAGGAGCTCTTCTTCCTTGCAGCTGTCTCCCATATATTTAAATAAACACTGATCCAATTTCCTTATCAGAATTCTCTCTTCCTGTTCTTCTCCCCTCCTTTTTTGCCTATTCATTTGTTTGTTCTGTAGTTTTGTGTTGGTTTTTTCTTGGGGGGTGGGGGGTTAAATAATCTTACCCTGTTGCCTTGGAAGCCAAAGCTGAACTTCTCGAGAGCCTGGCATTAACTTCAATGATGTAGTACTCCAGGGAAGTTGGATGCAGAGCAAACTGGATGTTACACTCTCCCACAATGCCCAGATGCCGGACGACTTTGATGGCACGATCCCTCAGCATCTGAAATTCCTCATTAGTGAGTGTCTGGCTTGGAGCCACTACAACAGAATCTCCTGTTGTCACAAGGTAGCAGAAAAGGAAAATAAGAAGCTGCTCAGTGGCAGATAAATTCTAGCCACACAGGTCACTTTCTTTGCTAACCCACTGCAATAATGAAGTTAGCACAGACATTCTAACCTGTGGATGCACAGTTGATGAAAAGCACAGATAGTCAGAAGCCCAGAGTTGGAGTGGTCAGGCAGTCACACAGTAAAAGGGATCATAGGGGTCCATTTCACACTGTAGCTGGCTGTACCCAAGATCTGAAGAGTATTTCTAGAGTGACTTCATCAACCACAAACCTATGTCAGTAACAGCAGCCAGAAGGGCATGGCATAAAAAAAGCTAATTTCCAGTTACCCAGCCTGTGGCCAAGCCTACCTGTGTGGACTCCCATAGCATCTATGTTCTCCATATTGCAGACAGCAATACAATTATCAGCAGCATCTCTCACAACTTCATACTCTATCTCCTTCCAGCCAACAACTGATTTTTCCACCAGAATTTGGTTAGTCATTGCAAATGCCTGGGAATATGTTAGGGAAAAGAAACAGTAAAAAAGAAAAACTTATTAGACCATGTTCCATATTTAAGACTTCTATGGCTTATCTTCAGACATCCCAGACCAACATGAAAATTGAAAGATAAAGGCAAGTGAAGTTCACAGCACTGACAACAAGCACTTTATATTTCTCTTTTTTAAAGGAAAAAAAAAGATTAGCTTCATTTGAAAAGTACAGGAAAATATTTATGTGACCTGATGGGAAAACAAAGGCAGGGCACATGAGCTTGCAATGGCATGTAAGTAACAAACAGGAATATAAAAACATCTAAGGCTTCAATCATGCAGCAGACACGTGGGTTTTTTTTTGTGGATGTGGGTAGCCCCACGGACTTCAACAGAACTGCAGAAGACTGAATTGACTAAGTGATGGGGATGTGGGTTCCAGCAAACACTATGTAATTAATAGTATTAATAATGCTGCTTATCATTGGCATACTAACCAGAAGCAAGATTCATGATCTATTCTTAAGCAGATCTTCAGAGCACTCCTCAGTGAAAGCGACAAAATGAAAAATACAGCTTGTTGGTAAACAAGCATAATCAAAGTGAATAAATGGCCTTAATATTAGCAGATAAAAAACATTAATCAATTGTCTCCTAAAATCCTAGAAAATAAGAGCTACATTATCCATCCATCCTTTAGCAAAGCTTCTTGTTTTAATGCTGCCCATCCATCAGTCTGCAGCCTGGTGCCCTCTGTAGTTAGCTCAAGCTGTTAGTCAGCTGTTGCCCTTAGCTCTGTTGTCAAACTTGCACACAGAAAATGAAAAGCAAAAGTAGTTTGAGGAGTGGCACTTCACATTCACACTCAGCACAAACACTGAATCTGTGGGGATGTAGCAGGAATGCCCAATCACACTTGTAAAACAATCCAAGCTGCTCCTGTGTTACTGTCTATTGCCTTCTCTCACTCAAAATGAGCAGTCTCAGGAAACACGAACAGATTACTTGAAGTATGTGGGCTATGAAACATCCACTGTTCAGTCCTCTGAATTACATACAATTCAGAGTCCTATGTCTGAAAACCCAGTTCACACAATTACTACAGATCACCTTTGTAATTGAGAACAAGGGAGTTTCTGCTGGACTGTAGACACGAGCATCCAAAGTTGAGCTAATTTAACTCATTTAATTTATAAGGGGCATATAAGGATGTTAGGGAGGAACTATTCATTAGAGACTGCAGTGATAGGACAAGGGGTAACAGGATAAAACTTAAACACGGGGAAGTTTAGATTGGATATAAGGAAGAAGTTCTTTACTGTAAGGGTGGTGAGGCGCTGGAATGGGTTGTCCAAGGAAGGTGTGAATGCTCCATTCCTGGCAGTGTTCAAGGCCAGGTTGGACAAAGCCTTGGATGACATGGTTCAGTGGGTGGTGTCCCTGCTCATGGCAAGGGGGCTGGAACTGGATTATCTTAAGGTCCTTTCCAACCCTATCTATGAGTCTAGGTTTCTAACCCAAACTGTTTTCCGCTGCACATTTTGAAATGTTGATACCAAACTGGGAGGTGCTGTTGCCTCTCTTGAAGGACAGGAGGCCTTGTAGAAGTATCTAGATCGATTGGAGCATTAGGCTGTGATTAATGGAATGAAATCTAACAAGATGAAATGCCAGATTCTGCACCCAGGATGGACTAATGCCAGGCACAAGCATAAACTGGGACAGGAGTTGCTGGAGCCAACAAAGCTGGTGAAAGGGCTGGAAGGAAAGTCCTATGAAGAGTGGCTGAGAACTTTGGGCTTGTCTAGTTTGGAGAAAAGGAGGCTGAGAGGTGACCTCACTGCTCTCTACAGCTGCCTGAGGAGGGGAAGTGGCAATGGAGGTGCTGGTCTCTTCTCCCTGGTATCCAGTGACAGGATGCATGGGAATTCTGCAAAGCTTCATCAGGGGAGGTTCAGACTTAACATTAGGAAGCTTTTCTTTACTGAGAGGGTGGTCAAACACTGGCACAGACTTCCTAGAGAGGTGGTCAATGCCCCAGGCCTGTCAGTGTTTAAGAGGCATTTGGACAATGCCTTAACTTTTGGTGAGCATGGAAGTGGGTCAGGCAGTTGGACTGGATGATCATTGTAGCTCTCTTCCAACTTAAATACTCTGTTCTACTCCAATTCAAAATGCCGAAGTTCTTTTAGTATAACTTTTGAGAAAATGAAAACATTTATTTAGAAAGTAAAACAGAATCAGGCTTTTCAAAGAAAGAGTTTCAGAACTGTGAAACACTTACTAAAGATATGAACTGCCCAACTCTGAAGTTTCATAGCTAATAAGATGCTTATCAAGAGCAGCTGGTTTACAGATCTCAGGGAAAAACTGAGATGTTCAAAATCACCTTAAAAGAACACCAAGAAACACTGATCAAAACCAGGTTTTCCTACTGAAAAATATTTGGATATCAACTTTTTCAGACAGCTGCACTCCCAGAGTTCCTGAGTGAATTTCTGCTTTCTTTGAACAAAGCCCATGTGTGTTGGGCAAGCAAAGTGTTTCCAGCTTCAGCCATCAATCTGTGAGGTGGGGTTACTGCACCCAATGTCTCCTCCTGTATCTGTCAAGTCCTGTCCACTGGGCCTCCCTGCAACTGACACTGCCTGAGCAGATATTTGCTCAGCACTAAGCACACTAAACCCAAAGTCCGTTTGCATGGGAGCAGCATGGAAGGATACACAAATGGCATTTTCACAGACATATCTTACTGGCCCCAGTAAGACACTGGAGACAAAACACTGCTGTGTTTTGTCCTAGAGATACATGAAAGATTAAGAGGTTCAGCAAATCAGGGAAAGAAAAAAACTAAGAAACAGAGATTTATTTCCTAAAATTCCACATTTTTGCCAAGGAAAAAGCTTTTTGGGTTTCGTTTTGTTTTCCTCAATTATCTGCTTACTTTTCACAGCAAATTTATAAAACCAATCCCAGATTTCCTACGGAAGAGCTGTTTCTATAGCCAGAGACAGCTGGTAGATGTCAAATTATGAAGTGTCATCCCATTAAATCCCTACATGAGCTTTTGACCATCAAAAATGCTGTCTTTAGACAGAAACACAACAGAGGCCCAAGCCTATCTTCTGTCCTTGATAATGCATTGTCACTCAGCATTTAAAACATTTCAACTTCCTTGACAGCCTTCATGTGCCATTTACTCCCGCAAGTAGGTGAATATAGTCCAATCTGTTTATTTTCAGACCCAAATTGCTGAAACAGTCAAGTAATGACTTGTTTCTCATGAATTGAATAGATCTGTAATTTTAACATGTTTGTTATCCGAGTCAGCAGGAATCATGAACAGAGGGCATGAGAAGGAATCAGGATAACAATTTACAGGTAAGATGAAAGGTGGGGTATGTACAATTCCAGTGTCTGTGACTATCAGAAGAATATCTAAGAAAACCGGATGTTCAGGTCTACTCCTGGAGCTTGCAATTGCAGACGTACCTTTGTACCAAGGTCCAGCAAACTTTCTTTATCGGGACATATTCCTGACCCTAGACCACCAAGGGCATAAGCAGAACGTATCATGACTGGGTAACTAATCTTTTCAGCTGCCTTCAGAGCATCTTCAACCTTGAAGGACATGGAAATAGTTTTCAGAGGTATAATAACAATTCAAATGAACAAAGTCTCAACTCTGGTTACACTGTTAACTGGAAATCACATCAGTAAGACACTATAAGATGAAAAGAGTAACAGTTGGCTTTATAATACTGCTTTGTTCTGCCAAACAGCAGGAAACAGGAACATGGACTCAAGGAGGGGCTTCTGTCCTTAGTTATGTGTGGACTTCCTTATTGACAAAGTCCTTATCTGGTCTGGCTTCACAGACTTTTAGCATGAAATAACCCCTCCAACAAACATCCTGGTTCAGTTTCCTCCAAACTCCAACAAGAGCAGTACAGAAGCCACCTCAACCCAATTTCTTTTTCTTGTCAACAAGTAAATGAGTGCTTAATTGCATTTGCACTCATTCTAAATCCTGGTGAACCAGCATCAGTCAGTGGGGAGTGATGGTGAAAGCGTACAAACTACAGTAGCCACAGTTGTATTCAGCTTTCACTCAACAAAACTAGATTTAGTTTTTAGCAACTCCAATGGACAACAGTAATAGTAATCACATCTTCAAAATCATCTGATTTACCGATTCCGCTGCAAAGCTAGGAGCAATCTTTTCATTTAGCTCAGTCAGCTTATCACAAAAAAGCTTTCTATCCTCTGTCGCCATGATGGATTCAACTGATGTACCTAGGACCTTCACACCATACTCCTGTAGGACTCCTTGCTTGAAGAGCTCCACTCCTGCAGAGTAAACAGAAGAAGAAGAAAGTATTCAAAAGGTAGCTGACTAGCTGACAACTTTTCTGGCCTCTTCAGCAGCTATTTTATTATAGGTTGTCAGTATTAGAACTCAGAACCATAACATGAAAGTTTCTGTCCTCATATCTATGAAACCTGGAATATCAGTAAAGTTACTGCTTGGCCATCACCTCCAACACAAAGCAAAGGAGTGCAGTGTTTGGAAGAAGCTAACTTTTCCTTTTGATCTCTGCCTCAAGGTGGTCTACAAGTATCAAAATCAGCAATTCGATGTTATGTTCACAACTCAGCAATTACTCACTCCCCCATGGTCAGTATCTTTGCCTGTAGTCCTTAGTAACTTAGACAATGTACCACGCACATGGGTATTGCATGTCTGCACAAATAAAGCCTGCTGAACACATAGTAAAAACCATGAGTTTGCCTGCAAGGAGTGCCAAAATGCCTATATTGTACTCACCACAGTTGAGAGCAGTCTGGCCACCCATGCCCAGAATTAATCCATCAGGACGCTCTGCTTTGATGACTTCTGTGACAAACTGTGGAGTGATGGGGAGGAAGTAGACAGCATCAGCCTGCTTTAAGCCAGTCTCATTGGTCTGCACTGAAGCAATATTGGGATTCATGAGGACAGTTTTCACATTTTCTTCCTGAAAAAATGAAAATATGCATTAAAACTAAGAATATGTGGAAAAAGATCTAACAGCAGCAGCAAGGAGAGATGGGGCTCAACAAGCTGTTTACCAACAGTAGCATTTAAAAAGTCCGGTTCCCTATGTACTCTCCCATAAGGGATCCCTGGTTTCTTGTAACAGGCTGAGCTAATGGAAATTCTTTACTTTCGTGCCTCTGCATGTCAATGGCTCTTCAGGGAATGGTGATTCCCACCTTATTCAGAAACATGGTTGAAATTGCTTAGTACATTTAGGAGTTACACAGGGGAGACAGGAACAAACTCCAGCATTCTCATGTCTGTGTTCTGTTGAAAGTCAGTCTAGAAGTCACCAAAAATTAATGAAAACCCAATCTTTTCTTGCCAAGCAGTAGGTCTTTGATGGGATATCCAGGTAGTTATCAGCTTTTGTACCAATTAGTAACAGTACAAACCCACATTGTTTGCTCTGACTTTCCTTAAACATACTTTACTTTTCCCGGTGTCATTGCTTTAAGAATCTTGTCCTATTACATTTTTATTTGATACTGCATGTACTCAACAGACAAACTCTGCCTTTAAACGCAGGACAAAGGTTAGCCAAAACTTCACACTGTATTTTCTCTGTCACATATAAGAAATAGGGTGATGATAAAGTTTATCTGTTTCCTGCTATACCAGTGGGAGTTTTACCACTCTTGGTTACTGTCGTGGTTTAAACCCAGTCAGGTAACTCGTTCACTCACTCCCCCCCTTCTTGCCCTCCCCCTACTCCCGGAGGAACAGAGAGGAGAATCGAAAAGAAAGCAACTCCCACAGGCTGAGATAAGAACAGTTTAGTAACTAAGGTATAACACAGATCACTACTGCTACCACCAATGATAATAATGATAAAGGAAATAGCAAGGGAAGAGAATACAACACCTCAGCACCAGCCGACCGATAACTCGCCCCCCCCCCCCAGCCCGACCAAGCTCTGACCGATACCTCCTCCAACCCTGCAGATCCCAGCCCTTCCGGGTAACTCTCCGTTACATCCTGGCCATGACATGCTGTGGTATGGAATACCTCTTTGGTCAGTTTGGGTCAGGTGTCCTGTCTCTGCTTCCTCCCAGCCTCCCCTCCTCCCTGGCAGAGCATGAGGCTCACAAAGTCCTTGGCCAAACCAAAACATCGCTATCAGCTCTGCTCCCAGGCTGAAAGTCAAAACACAGCACTGCACCAGCTACCAAGAAGGAGAAACATGACTGCTACTGCTGAACCCAGGACAGTTACAGACATTCACTGCAGTTGGCTCATTAGTAGAAAAAGTCTGAGGGAGATCAACTCTCCTCATATAGTGAATATTAGTGTAATGAGGAAGCCTACTAAGTTTTACTAATAATGATGAGACCAGAATGTGGCCAAGCTCAAAAACAGACCCAAGCTAACCACAAGCAGATAAAGAAGTGTATTAGTGCTTTGTTGCAAAGGAGGGTTGGGAAGAGCAAAGGCTGTGGCCTCATTTTTCTGACTCACTCTGATCTCCATCAACTTCTTGGAAAGCAATAAACTTCTACAAACAAACCATTTGCCAACTATGCTGATTAGAGATGCAAAATACACCTGAATAGAAAGGTTTGTGACATGGAAGTTGTGGAGGTTAAGAAACAACTGTGACTGTAATAAAAACAGGAATTGTGAAGAGTAATAAAGGATAGGAAGAATGTTGCTGGATTCAGTCAGCCATTCCTCACGTAAATGCTATGAAAGTCTTCCTAGGACCAGTACAGAAATTGCTGGTTTTGCCCAGCTTACAATAAGCATGAAAATGCCATAGGGTTTTTCTGTGTTTGATTAAAACTTGTGAGTGTTTGACCCATTGGTTTGGGGGAACAAACACACAGTTTGCCAAGAGCAGTGGGATTCTCACTCAAAGCTCTGACTCCTCCGTTCAGGTATAACCTTTTTGCTCTGTCCTTTGATAACTTCAAATACTGCCTTGAAGACCAGATGTAAATTTTTGCTGACCTTCTTGCCCCATGAAACACTTTCCTTGGAAATGTGTGGTGCAGCAAAGGGAAAGAAGGGAGAAAATCCTTATGGAAAATTGAGAGAAATGACCCCAAACTGGGTAGCTTTCACGGCAGTGATGAAGGAAAAGGGGAGATCTTTGAGCAAAGTATCTTCTCTAATGAACATATTCAGAAATTCATAGCTATAATTCTGGTAGTAATGAATGGGGGAGGGAGAGGTACCTCACTTGCCAACAACAGTGTATCTGTACAGCTCAGCCCTTTCTTCCCTACTTATTGGGGCAGGGTGTCTAAGGACCAGCTAGCAGTGATAAGGAAGACAATTAATGAGAGAATTAATGCTCACTGTTGCTAAGAGGGACACATTTTACTGATAACACATTGTTTGGGATGTTGGATTTTAATCCACTCACTTTTTGCCCTTGCAACCCCTTCCTCCAACTTCTGCCTTTTTAAACACAGGGCACTCTGCACAACGGCCACCCATCTTGACTGGGGACCTTTGTTACAACTTAATTAAGACAGTGCATGACTAATACTCCAGGAGGGTTCCATTCCTCTTTTGGTGTAAACCCACCTGTATTCAGAACAGTTGGGAGAATTCCCATAGCATGTAACCCAGAATGGTTAGGGTTGAAAGGAACTTTCTTAAAGATCATCAAGTTCTCATCAATTCACCCAAAGCAATGACTTCTCATTCATTCCTTTCAAGATTATCAATCTATTCTGGAAACAAAACTTGGCATATATGACCTTTAAAAAGTTCATCCCATTTAAAACAAATAGCATTTAGAAAACCTGCCTTGATAAGGGGTTCAAAATCTTTTGCATAACAATCTTGACAGCAGCCAACCATCTTAGCTGTTGTTGTTATTTCTCTGCATTGCAATGTGTTGGCACACCACAAAACTTTCAGTAATTGCAGCTCACGTGTTGCTGACCCTATTCCTTCTATTCAAACTTAAACAGGGGATGTTCAGATTAGATAGAAGGAGGAAGTTCTTTACTGTGAGGCTGGTGAGGCACTGGAATGGGCTGCCCAAAGAAGTGGTGAATGCTCCAGCCCTGGCAGTGTTCAAGGCCCAACTGGTCAGAGTCTTGGGTGACATGGTCTAGGGTGAGGTGTCCCTGCCCACGGCAGGGGGGGGTGGAACTAGATGATTTTAAGGTCCTTGACAACCTTAACTATTCTGTGATTCATTTCCACTGATCTTTACAAGCTTGGAGTCACCAGTCACATATCCCAAACAACAGACTGCTCAAAGACTGCAATGGAAAGCTTAAGAACATATCTCTTTGGAAGATAATTCCGAGCGGTTAATTCACATCACTGAACCAACAAGTCCACAAACAAAAAATGACTAGATTTTCCTAGTCATTTTTTCTCACCAGCTTCCCTGCCCCAGTCAGAGGAGGAGTTAGCTGGGAGAGGGGAAAAATGAAACACATGAAGTCAGTATTTTCAGAGCATCCTCTCACCTTCATGGCTTTCACAGCCTGGGATCCAGAGTAATCAAATTCCCCTGCTTGACCAATTGACAGACCCCCGGATCCTAGAATGAGCACTTTGGAGACCTAGAAATGTCAAACAGCATGGAAAAAAAAAATCAGTCCTATCATAGAGGATGTTGGAATGAACAGACACTGTTCAGCACTGAACGGTCTCAAATTACAAAACAGAAGTCTTAAAGAGAGAAAAGTCAAGTCCAAAACCACTGCAGTTTTACTTCCAAGAATATTTCTACTGGACTTGTCCTGTATATCTCTGCTTAGAGAAACACATGACTTATATTCAGGGCATACAGTAAACCTGTTAGTTGTATCATGAGCTTAACTTTGGCTGCCCGCAAAATCCAGCTGCCTTCTAAGACAGCAACACTGTGAAATTCAGCTCACACTAAGAATTGCAGACTTATTTGCTAAGCAACAGAACACCAAGATTATGCTGCTGGCACAGAATCTCAAGGCCAGATTATCCCAGGGCACCTCGAATACTGCCATGAGAGTACCCCACATGAAACATCAGATCTTACAACCTTCAAAGAAAAAGGAGTTGTTAACACATGAAACCCCTGATGACAGTGAGATAGGCAGCTGACAAGTCTTTTGCAAGGGAAGCCTCCTCTGACTTCCTTGGTCAGCTTTTTGTGCCATTTTGTACCATAGGTTCAGTAGGAATTAACAAGTGCCTCACTGACAGGCATGAATAATGAGTGTCTATACACTGACCTCCACTCTGGAAGCTGTCACTCCAGCTTTGGGCAGGACCGAGGAAACTGAGCTTTTCCCTCTCTTAATCAGTGCAATAAATGAATCAAATAGGAACTAGGAAAAATAAACACATGTATTTAATCACCAAAGTGGAACTAAATAAATGCCAAGCTCTTAGCTCTGCTCTGCTGCCTTCAGAAGGTAGATTTACACCATCAGAGAAGAGGGGATCATTGCCTGAAATTTGTCTAACAAGTTTGATGTATTTGACAAAGCTGAATTCAAGGAAGTGAGATCATATCAGGAAGAAAACACATATCAATCACATCTGTATCCTCTGCTTGTATATGGCTGGCAATGCAATGAATGAACTAGCTCAAAGGAACCATCTCAAATGAAGCCTGCTGCAGATCTGGGATCTGAACAGGTATCTCTAAACATCAGTTGTGCTACATCAGTACTGTCCTTCCAGAGGAAGCTACAGACAGTGGGAAAGGCTCCCCATCTGACCACACACTTGCAGAGCCTTGTCCACACCACTCCTGAAGCTGTCTGCTGGGAATTATGGAAGGAGCACAGATGGGTCCTGCATGACCATCACGATAGGCACTGTGTTATAGAACTCATGCCAGCAGCCAGAGTGCACAGACTGGGGAAAGGTACAGCTGAGGGTTGTTTTGAGTTCTCTAAGATTCACTAGTCAATCAGATTGCTATGAAACTTCTTGATATCAAGATATTTACTTGAAGGTTTAATCAATATCATGAAATTAAGATTAAAATAAGCACTTCGATACGTTCTTCCATCCTCCTATCTCAAGTAATGCTAAATGGTTTATTTATGTTTAGACATGCCCCCTTTGCATTCCACATCCCCTGTTGCTGCTTAGTCATACTCTGCAGCTACACAGCCAGTTGTTACAGAGTTTGTGCAAAGTCACAGATGGGGGATTAAAATTTCATTTCACTTAGGAGAACCAGAGTGAGGAAGTGTGAATCCATTTACATAACTCTACGGTAATTATAAGATTTGAAAGTGGAACTAAAACATACTAGAAAGTTAATGGTTTTATTACAAAGCATCTGGCTAGCGTATTTTCCTGGTAAAAAAAAAAAACAAAACCTTTTCCTTTTGCAATTACCCCTCAAGAGATTTGAGCCTGATCCTGCAAAGGCTTAAACACTTCAGTAACTTCGAACACACAGATAATCCCATCAGGGCTCCAAGCATACACATCCTATGAATGGAATCATTGATCCAAAGCATACAGAAGTCAATAGGTGCCTTGCTGTTGATTGAATTAGCTGGGGATCAAGCTAAGCAGACACAAGCCTATGCATGACTGGGCCCTCTGTTAGGATCCCAACATTTCAAACCCCAAGATTTGGGACTGTCACCAACATAAAGACTTGTAATTGTAGCTGATACATATCTGAACCCCCTAGGCTACCTCTGAAACCAAGTTCATATCAGCCCTCATACAGTACCTCTGTGTCCCTTGGCCCAGGATTTGCATCTGGGTAGAACTGTGCTGTGAAAATCGGTCTGGTCTCATGCATAATTCCCTGCAGGAATGAAAATGATTGTCTCAGATACTTCCTTGCTCCTTTCCATGGGGGAAATTTCTTTTGAAAATACCTAAATAACTGATATAAATTACAACAACAGGCCAAAGTAGACTGCAATAATACTCCTTTTCTGTGCTGGGCAACACAGAAGCAACACAACTGAATAATGACCCAGGCTGTGACACCTATGGTACCAGTCCTAAGATGACAGTAACTGAATGAGCATCACTGATAGCAGGGAGATCTCAAAAGTTAATAAGGCAGCTGTTCAAGAGAAATCACATGGTCAGTGTTGCAAACCTACACTTTGGGCTAGTATGGAGAACAGTGGTAATGGCTCAGCCCCTTTTGGCCTGTCAGGCAAAACCCCAAGTAAAGCAGATGGTCAGATCACCAAGTTTAGCCCTAATAACTAATAGTAATCTGACAGCAAATTTCCAGGAGGTGAAATAAAGTAAGAGAGGGTATTCATTCACTAGGGGCTGCTATGTGCAGGTTCCTGGAAAGCATGAGCTCACCTCATTCGTTTGATCGTTGGCATTCACAAAGAGAGGTTTCCAGCCAGGTGGGAGGGTAGAGCTGTCAATAGCATAACCATGATTCTGAGCAGTGATGACAGCCTGTCCATTCACTGCATTCAGGACAGGCTGGTTCTGTCCTCTGAAAGATAAAAGATCAGAGAACCAAGGGCAGAAGAGTCAGATGTGTTCAAATGCCACTATTAGAGCAGATAACTCTGGGGCTATACAGAGCAGTTCAATACTAGCTGTTCAATACTGGAAGCCAATCTCAAAATGATAAATCCTAGGAGAAGTTCTGCTATTCTTCAGTTTGATGGGGATCAATTACATCAAAGACTTTCAAAATACCCTCAGAAAAAGTAATACATGACATGGCAGTTTAAATTAAAGGCAAGGAGAACAGCTGGAATGAAGAAGTAATGTTACCGACATGATAGCTCTCATTAAGTCAGTTCAGAAGTAATGCACTGCTTCTATGTGGCCTTTTGCAATGCTGAGCTGGTTTGTCTGGGTCTTGGGAAGCAGAAGAGTTGCCATACCTGTTGGCCATCTGCATCTTGTAGGAAGTAGCTCCGGCTGCTATCGCAGTGATTAGATTCCCCATGCTAATTCCAAACAAAGGCTGTGGACGATTGCTCTCCAGGACCTAAAACAAAAAGGTTTTCAGGAGACACTGGAGTGTTTGTGTTCAGCAATTCCAGCACAAACCATGCCAGTTCTCTCACAAACTCACAACAAAGCTGAATGTATGGGTGGTAACAGCCTATAAAGGAAAAGTTTACTCCTCTCCTTTGAGAGGGAAGCCTCAGAACACGGTTTGATGTCTCGGTCTCCTCGAGGAGAACATGCAGTGACACTCTGCATTACAGCCATTCAGTGTGTGACATTGTTTCAAATGGGAACACTGTGAAATTGGGAGTGTCCTTTCAAAAGGTCACAGAGGTCCTGAAAGAGCACAGGCTACTCTGAGGCACCGGCAAGGTCAGCACAGTAATCATGTATTGCTCACCGAGGTCTGTATATCCTTACTGTAACTACTGGTCTGAAGGCAACTCCAGGGGATGAAGATGAGAAATATCCCAGGCAGATGAAATCATTTAACAGTTGGTCTGTAACATGTTAGTACCATCAACTGTATAGAAGTCAGGCACTTGAAAAGAGGGGCAAAGAAGAACAATTGACCTATGGCTATTACACTGTACCTTTCTGACATTCTGAATCACCTCCTGGGCCTTCATGGGATCTCCTGGACCTCCAGAAATTATGAGCCCATCATACTCCATGCTGGTGAAATCATGGTCCCATGGAACCAAATGCACTTCTGCACCTCGCTAGGAGAAAAAGAACAGGGAACAAGAAATGGGGAGGGGGGGAAGAAATGCATTTTTGTGAGGAGGTTGTTCTTGTGCTCTTATGTCCCAAAGGCTGAGTTTGGATTTCAAGTCATCCCTTTGCCAGGGACAAAAACAAGGTTTCTCTCCATATCTGACCAGATTATTTTCACAAAACTGGTAGATTTAGTAACTTTGAGCTGTTTCGATGTCTGTCAAGTTTGTCTGAAATTCACCAAGATCAAAACTTACTAATGGAATGCAAAAACAAAGCATACACACATGTGAACACATGCACACATGTAAAACATGGTCATTTTTACACAGTGCATTCATCCTAAATGCTAAATTAGGACTTCACAACCTCATTCTGTGCCATGTGAAAAATGATCCTGCACATGAAAAATGGGAAAAATGGGAATATCCACATAAACTAAAGAACAAAAACAGGGAAACCCAGTAGATCCGGAGAATGAGAGGACACCCCTTTTAATCCTCCTGTGTGGTTACAGAAGTGAGGACTGCTCAATCACTGCGCTAACAACAGGAAAAGATTTTCACAGAATCATAGGCTTAAAGAATAACTTGGGACGAAGGGACTCCAGGAGGTCACCTGCTCCAATCCCTGCTCAAAGCAGGGGTAAGTTCAGCTTGCTGGCAGGTTGCTTAAGAGCATTGGTCAGTTGAGTTTTTACTATCTTCAAGGACAGACATTCCACAGCTTCTCTGGGCCTGTTTCAGCTATTCACTACCCTCACTGCAAAATCTTATCCCCATTTATTTGTTATTTACAGTGTTGGCTTGACTTTCCTTGCTTGCTCTTTACAGAAGCCATGCCTTGTCTTTTTTAAAGTTCACCTAGGAACTCCTCTCATGGCTGAGAGGTTGCTGCACAGGTCCTGCTCCTTACCTCCTCAATACAGTGCACCACATTCCCATAAAAATCTTCCTAAAAAGTGTACCTCATTTTAGGAGCACAACTGCTACTGGAATGGATGTGTCCAGGTAGAAGGAAGGCTAATGAGAACAGTCTAGGCTTTTGACAAAGCAAAACAAGAGATGAAGGACATAAAGCACTGACCTACCTTTACTAGCAGGCGGATAATATTGTACTTCAGCCCACAGTCGACAGCTACAACTTTAATTGGATTCCCTCTGCCATAAACCTTCACTTCCTATAGAAAGACAGACCATGCTGTAAATGACCGATCACCCCCTGCTCACAGAACACAGGGAAGACAGGGAGCAGAGTAACATTTCACCACCGTCCAGAACTAGTACTTAACAATCAATTCACAGGGAAATCTCTGGAAGCACTGCAGGCATTAGCACTTCCTTCATTTTTCTGTGAGACCAGAAGTTATAATGCTCTTTTATACACTCTTGATTACAGCAATTCCTAAGAAATCACTTGTTTCCATAGCTAATGACAAGCTTTTTCCTGTGTTTTACCTCATTAGCAGTGAAGCAGCAAGCCAGTTCTCACTGATTAGTGCAGCCCGAGAGAAACACCAGATACACAGCAAGAGACTTTCAGCTGCAGTTAAGTCATCCTGCTAATGCCAGTGGAGTGAGGCTGCTCCACACCAGCTGCAGATCCACCACATCAACACTATGCTGACCCTCCAATCACAGTAAGACCAAAGCATAGCACAGCTGGAGATCGCCTATGGGTGACCTCCAGTGCATCACAGCAGTACAGACCAGGCTAAGCATGTCACAGAGCACGGCTTTTGCTCATATGGGCCTGACAGTTTGACATGTCAGACAACATTTCTCCTCCTCCTTCAGCTACTCTTCCTTAACCCAGTCCACAAAGTTAATCATCACCAGTCCCAAATCTGAACTATTATGCTTTGTACATCCACTTATCTTTTAGTCATGAAAAAAAAAATGGTCAAACCACCATATGGGCCTTGATACTGCAACACGCAGATATACTGACAGATGGCTGTAGCACTAATATAAGGTTATTTACAGACAGCTTCTTTCTGAAGCTTGTTGAAATACTTTACTTGTTACATGACTGCTGTTATCACCACATTGGGATGTTATTCATCAATAAGCACATAAGGCAGTCTTCTTCCTTGTAAAAATCTCTGTGCTTCCCTTTAGTTACACTCAGCTTCTGCAAGCTGATATTGATAAGCATACTTTAAGTGGCTTTTCTCTCGTGCAACACACCACTGAAAATAAAGTCTCTATTTAATTTTTTAAACTAAGTAACTCCTGTTTAATCAGCTTCCCTGGCATTCATATTTCACTGCTGGGCCCTTTATGAAGAGATGCTAAAATCCATGCCCAATACACCTGTTGCAGGGTGACAAACCGAACCTTTTATGGGAGGATTATGACCAGCCAGAAGGAGAGACATCCCCCCTACAGGGAACTCAAGATGAAGGTTGTTAGCAGAATATTACAACTCCTCCCCCTGTGTTCTCCTAACTCAGTTTTTGTTTGAACTTTTACCTGCTCAAAGACTGAGAAGCAGAGTTTTAGGATGCAAGAGCATGTCCCATGTGAGGCAAGCTCTGATCGTTAACAGGAGTGACTTATTGACATCTAAGGAGGAAGGGTGGAAGAGATGGGTTGCAAAGAGCCACCTCTCTTCACTACAAGGCTTTGAGCAGCAACACAACACATGAGTCACCAATGGTCCCTAGCTGACCTGTGAGGACATGACTGCTGTCATAATTCCTGTTGTGCAATGCTGAAAGGAGTTATTTTGTATCTGAAGATTCCTTGTAGTTCATGCTATTACATCAGATGGCAAAGTACCCTACAATCTCTTTTTGAGAATGAGTAGAATGGAAATCATATTGAAACTGGGTCTTGTTAGATCACTCAAGACTTCTGACATGAAGCCATGCCTGACATCAAATACGACAATGTCTTCACAGTCACCAATACACAAGTAGATTCTACTTCCATAGTCTATGGTGGAACTGCAGCACTGCACAGGAATTGTACGGGTCTTTTACCTGCTGACCTTCAGGCTTCTGGAAGGTGGGTTTCAATAATCTCAAGATTAAGGTGTTCAGTTTCCACAGAAACTAATTTATTGTCATGTGCCAGAGTCCCTTAGAATAAATTCACCTTATCTTTCAAAAGGGCTTCTGGAGACCCCCCAACTCTTCACAACATCCATACTTTAAAGTCTCAAAACATTATGAGGCAAAGATCTCTCTCAGATGTTCTCCTTGGCTGTTCTAATGGCCAGAGGGAGTTGAGGTACAAAACTGCTTTGAGATACTTTAATTACTTCACTCTCTAAGCTCTTCCCTGTCTAATTACTTAGGTTGTGATTTGTTACATGTCCTTCAGCAGCTAGGCTGATTGTAGGTGCCAAATTCTTCACAACCTTCGCCCCTCTTCTCACACTTCTTATTCCTCTGTACGGCAGAGTTCTGACTTCCGCATCCGGCCCAGAGTATGCCTAGACAGAAACCAGACTGGGAACTGGATCAGGGAGCTGTTCAAATATATTCCTTCTAAAGCAAGAGGACTTCCCTCATCTGTTCACTGCACAACCTATAAGAAACTGCCTCAGTCTGAAAGGATGATGTGGGAATAGGGCTATCTTTATGTGTGGATGGAAGTAGCCTTTTAGGCTCAAGTGGTTAAATACTTCTCATCTGCTCTGGGACCCTGATCACCACGTGCACCAAAATAAGTCTCTGACAGAAGTCCCTGCAGAATACTGGCAGCTTTCTATATTCCCCACCCTGTACAGGCAATGTTGGCGAATATGGGCTATACCATCAGCCTTCTAAAGAAGTGGGGAGGTGAGGGGAATCAATCACTCCTAATATACAGTTGATAAGCAGATTCCTGATCTTACTGTATCCTGATTTACATGAAAATAGTTATTTGGCAACATATAGATTATCACGTCCAGTAATTATCAACACTGAACAGCTAACTTCATTTTCAGCTTTATTTGCAATGCTGCTTTTTAAGTCTATAAAATAAAGTTATGAACATAATGAGACCACCAAGGCTCTGTTAATCTCATTGCATCTCCATCTGAGAAGCTATTTTCAGCATCTTTACAGCAATTCTGTCTTAGTAATTGCAGAGTTCAGCATCAGCAACCTTACCTTTTCCTGAGTTACTGCTCAAAATGGCTTCACCTGCATCTTGCAATCATAGATCACAATCTCAATAAGCAATTGCCATCCTTCTGTGTAGCAACAAGGCCCTGACTCAAAATACAGTGGAGGCTTTGGCATGATTTGGCGAGATCCCTGAAGGTGATATTCACGAAGTGGCCTATTGATTCCAACAGCATCCTAGGTAACCAGGTACTGCTGTAAATCCAAGCCTGAATGGAGACTGTGCTTCAAATTCCCACTTGCTCACTGACCAGCCTGTTTAGGACTGCTTCTCACACATGCTCACTCTCATATCAGCTTGTGTGCAGAACAGTAAACAAGCAACTATTTGCAAAGCTCTTCCACAGCCTCACTGATCTTGAAGGAGCTGCAAACAGCATGGAATAAGCTGCAGTAAGCATGGAATTTGTAGAAGAGATTCATACACCCTGTTCTCACTTCAATGGGATTAAGCACCCAAACACACACTTTATCCCACTTTAAACCCCAAAGGGTCCACAATTTAAGATGTTAGCCTTTGCATTGGTACAAGAATAGTTACTAATTTTAGTATGGGCCTGGTTTCCTAAGTCCTCATGATTGGTAATGTTCTTCTCAGCTCATGGTGGAAGATAGTTTGTATATCCAGCTAACAGAGGCACGAATTTAACTGCTTATCTGTACACATCCACAGACAAACCAGCTAACACCAGTAATATTAGATCCAGGGGATTCCTCACCTGGTCTCTTTTTGAAATCTAGAAATATCTTCTGGAGTCACCTCAACAAAGCTATGCCTGAACACAGATTATCAAAATCTTTTTGTGAGCTTTCCTGAAACTTAAAACAACCATTCTTTTTACTAGTAGTTCTTCCATTTGAAAATGCCCACTATATACTAGGTCTAACTTATCACTAATACTTCTCAATCCTGTCTTTGTAACACACAGTCCTCTGATCAGAGTACTGTTCAGACTACATCTAGCTCAACGCAGCTCATTTTACAGCTTCAGCTCTGTACCCGAGAAGCCATGGGGATTCTGCAAGGACGATGTTGAGACAACAGTCCTTCAAAGGTCTGGAAAGGTACATGGTATATAAAAGGTTCCCAAATTGACTGGCTAATCCCCAGAGCAAATGGGGAGCAGTTACCACCTGGAGTGTACAGCCTTGGGACCACAGAAGAATTTCTCACCTTTGTTGAAACTTCTGCAATTAAGTTCTGATTATTTGGATCTGCAAATTCCACGGGTTGACCTTCAAATTCAATCTTCCCAAGTAACGTGCCCTGTGGAAATACACCAGTCAACAAAAAAGCACTAGCAAAGGAAAGGCTGTGAACACAGGGACAAGGTGCTGACAGGCACAGCAACTGAAACAGCTGTTTAGAGATGGCTTCTTGGTAGCTTACAACCATTTCTAGCATCTTAGAGAAGTTCCTGAACCTTACTTGGTATCAAATAACCTATTTAAAATCCTTCATTCAGGGGAGGCATTGTCAGCAGTAACATTTGTTAATAGGCAGCCTGGCAAGCTGTCTAGTGAGCGTGAAATGGGTTGCCTTCCAAGAGGGTTAGAATTCAGATCCCCATAGATCTGGGAGTAATCCACAAAGCAGTTTGAAGCTTTCTGGTTTATAGAAACTCACTGTGAGATCTTTAGCCACCTCCTGTGCATAGATACAAGGAAGTAGAGCTGGTGTAAGGCAAAGCTATGTAGGAGGCAGGTCTGCACACTGTTTTCTGAAGAAACTGCTTAAAAAAAACACCTCCACAAGCTCTACTCTTTATTGCTGTTAGCACCTCACAGAAGCCAGGCCACGCTTGCTCTGCCAGCAGCATTCTGCTCGTTCAAATTCTCAGTGGTTTGGCTTTGCCCCACTCCTGAAATAAGTAGGATTAACCTAGGGTTAACCTCTTCTCAGCATGGGGACAGGGTGTGCAGTACAGAACTTTTCAAGGATGGAAGGGGAAAGTAACACAGAATAAGTCAATGTTTTGTTGTAACTTTTAACTTTCATATAAAAGATGTTAGTCCACCCTGTGGACATCACACTAGCATGCACTCTCATTGGATTATTCATTGGGTTTGGTGACACTTCCATGAGATACTGCCATCATTGGCCATACCTGAAATATCCTTGTCAGGGCCAGATGGAGACAGCATCCTGCACTGCCATGCACACTACTATGGGTAAATTTTAAAGACAGTATATCAGTATCTGACATCCTACCTCATCTTGAGTAGCACAACAAAAGCAACTCCAGGCTGCTTTGCACGGACCAGAGCTGAGAAATTCAGCATCACCTTAAACAAGTCAGGTTCTTGGGACCCACAGAAGCTGATGAGAGCCACCAGTCAGTCCCATATACACTGATGACAAAGCCCTAAAGCCCTTGCTCTCAAACAGGAACCCCATGTCTTGCCTTGCTGCCAGGTTATTCTGCCAGATTGTTCCCCTGCATTTACCATTGGAGACTAATTTAACAAGTCACCACTCATTTCTGTAATTTATCATAATGAATCCCTGTTCTCACCCCTCAATTTATAAACAGACATGGAGTGAAGTGCTGTTTCTTTCAGAATGGGAGAAAAGGCTACATTATGCACTATTTTAAAAGCCATAAACCAATACCACTCAGAGGCCCAGTATAATGGGCATTACTCCCATGCACTGCTAAGTTACAGGGTAAACATGGGAAGTGCTTTCACTTTGGATGAAAGGAACGCTGATCCATTAAACAGTAGGTCTTCTGAAAGTAGAAAACATATTGCCATTTTCTATTGTATTAAACTGCACTTGTCTGCAGTCTGTAAGAGCAGGACAGTAATCTGTCTTCCTGCCAGAGCTCATTCCTGCTACTTATCTGTTCAAGCTAGATCATTCACATTTTGCTCTCTGGAATGAAAGGGGGTGTGGGCTGGAACTACAGACTGCAAATTGATCACCTACAGAAAAAAGCAACTTTAAATAATCCATTACAGAAGATCCTCCAAGGCACATTTACATTCAGACTGGCTTTGATCACTCTTTTAACCAGTGTGAAGTGTACCTTAACATTAACCTCCACTCAGTAACATAAACCTGCTCATGTCCTTCAATTGTCAGCTCTTGGAAACCAGAGAATAGTAATGACTATTAAAGATAATAACAGGCTTCAGCCTGAGTTAGGGAGCCAGATCAGTTTACTGTAGGCCTTCTTTTGTCTCTGAGGAGCAGGAGTAGTTCCACTGACCAAAGGTGCTGTCTGTGACCTAATATGCAAAATGCCTCACAGAACTGTCGCTCTCTCTTGTCACTATCCAAGGCAACATGCAGTTGACACTAGTACCTGTTGTGTTTGGCACACTAGTCAGACACAGCTACCTGAGGCCTTTCATCTACATCAGCTTACACTGGTTCACTTATGTGGAACAGAAAACTCGAAGCAGAGCAAAGAAGAGGGGCCTCCCTGGGATCTGCTCTGCCTCAGACCATTGTGTAGAGAGGATAGGGAGCCTTTGGAAGAGCACAGGGCACAGGAAGAGCAGCATCTGAGGTCAAGGCAGCCCAGCAGTAACACTGCTACCCCAGGTTTGCTGCTCTGATAATAAAAAGGCCCAGAAGTAGCAAGGTTAACACACCAGATCAAGGGAAGCAGATCATACCTTGTCACGAATTAATTTCGACAGCATTCTGGTATCAATCCCATACAGTGCAGGCACCTGAAGAAAACACAAGAGAAGGGTAAGCTGGAAAACAAGCAGCTAGGACAGAAGAAGATAGCAGCCAGCTCACTTTGCTGAGAAGAACGTGTCCTTTAAGGAGCTCTGGCAAGAGCAGCATTCCTACATAGGCTGCCTTCCTTCCTGTTATACACTTCTCCCTATTTCCACCCAAAAATAGCCTAGTTCTTCAAGTCTAGTTTCTGCCCTAAAAAGCACTAAATGAAAAAGCTCATGTGGCAAGTAGCAATCTCATTTCTGAGCCCCATTTTGTCTTACTTATAAGCACCTAACCCTCCCAGCTGTCCCAAGTCAGTGGCAGTCTACTGACACATCCTTGACCCCCTTGGCTCCAAGCCAGTGGGGTTCTGGCAGCCAACATCTCTTGTGCTTATGACCACAACAGCACTACTAGGAGCAGCTCTACAGAAACAATTGACAGAATGCTAATGTGTATCACTTTCATGGAAAAGCAAACATTCCCATTTAATTAACATTCCTTCTAGACAGATCTTGGAAATACCACGGCATCCTGAAAAAGAGAAATGGATGAAGAATCAGAGAACTAAGAGGCACAGAATGAACCCAGTACAGACTGGTGAAGATACCTGAGGAGAAGAGCTGTTACCAGCTAAAAGGCAGCAGTTCTTCCCCCTGTTCCCATGCATACAGCTCTGTTCTCATGTAGTTACCCCTAGATTACTCACCTTTTCTTCCTGCAACCACTCTCCAAGGCTCCTAGCAGCCTGCCAGTGGCTGTACTCATGGCTGTAATCCAGCACCAGCAAACCTGAAACCTACAGAGAGAAGAAATGTCATTTTGCACTGAAGGATCACTTTGTACTTGCTCTGCACCTCCCGAGTTTTCACTGTTCATCCACAGCAAACCGTATCATGGACAGGACACAAGGCTAGGCATGGCATGGCTGCTCTTCTATAACAAAAAGACAGCAGATCTGAGTCTTCATAGAGAGAGTGCACCCTGCAAAGGGCTAAAGACTTCATGTTCTGTCATGACTGCCAGGTTGGACAGAGCCTTGGGTGACATTGTCTAGTATGAGGCATCCCTGCCCTTGGCAGGAGGTTGGAACTGGATGATTTTAAGGTCCTTTCCAACCCAAACCATTCTGTGATTGTAGCTGGGCCATTTTACTTAGGAAATTCGTAGAGTAATGGGGCTTCCAGGTAACCAAAGCTGCAAATTGCATGGAACTGAGAAAACACTTCTTATCAGAAAGAAAATGGAAGTTTAAGACAAAACAAAATGTTTTATTTTGATTCATCTTTTGCTTAAGAAAGCTTTTCACTTTGAAGTGACATTTCATTTCAAACATCAGCTCCATTTTCCAGTGGAGTTAGCTTATAAAGGAGCCATTTCACCTCAGGTTCTGCAATCACTCGGTTTTGCTCCATTTTTCAGTACTGCCACCACTGCATGGACACAGCCCTACTTCAACATTCCCCGTCACCACAGTGTAAATATTGGTTCCTGCACTAGTACATACAGCCTTCTTCACACAACTGTCACCTCCCCTGTTTATGGTAGAGCAGACATAGAGAGGAAAGTCTCAGTATGCAGAAGCTTCTCATTCTCACTGGCGTTTGTTCTCTCTGGGGCAACAGTTCACAAGACAGCAGTTCACAAGAACTGTAGCATGTCCATCACTGACGGGAAATATACTGCTTTCAGACAGCACAGAGCCCAGCACAGAAAGAAAGATGGATTATCTTTTCCCACCTTCCTCCAAAGAACACTATCCAGAAGAAGAAAGTGAAAGGCTAAGTATCATTGATTCCTTCTAACTTTTATAAGGCTGGCAGTAAACTCTTGCACACACACATGCTCAGGCTGCTAACACCACCGTTTGATCAGGTCTGCATCTCCCCTTGTTACCTTGATCCCATCAGACTCCAGGAACTTCCTGAGACCCATTTCATCCAAAGCAGCTGTGTCAGGCACGCCACCATTCCCAACTATGGGGTTAGCTAGTGTAAGAATCTGTCCTTTGTAGCTGGGATCTGTCAAGGCTTCGGTGTATCTAGATGAAGAAGCAATAGAAGAAAAATACCTTTGTTGGAGTTGAAAGAAAAACAAAAGAGCCATTAAAACAAGACAGGTCTGAATTCCTATATGACAAAAAGTCAGAAATGGAATTTGTGTGAAAGTAGTCTCAGTATAAAAGCAAACACATCCATGAATCTGTTCTGACTTTGCCATCTGTGATTAAACATTTGATACTGAGAACAAGGCAAGGCTTTGGCTTCTCATGTTTCATTTAAGAAAAGCACAAGAGCTGTTAAACTCAGGCTCCTTGTGATATAACATAAGGCGAACAAATGCACAAAGTGCAGAGCCATTGCAAGCTGCAGTAATTGCATGGCCCACTGCTTCACCCAAGCTATTGCTTGGGCTTGGTCATTCCCCATGTGTGGGCAGTACTTTGGCACTGCTGTGTCCTTCCCTTCATGAGGTGTAAGAACTTATCCCTCTCAGCAGCAATAGAAAGCTCAAACTGAAAAGCCAACAGAGTAAATTGTCCAGAGTTGGTCCCTTTCGTGCTCTGGAGCTTGTAGGTCTTGAGATGTTCAAGGCTGTAACTGCTCTTGCTGTGGGGAAGCAGGTAGACAAATCTGTGCCTACCTTTTTTTGTCTGGGGATTGGTAAGGCAGCTGTGAACCATCCTTGTGATTCCTCACTACTGCTCTGTGTTCTCTCCTACTTGCTCTGTCAACAAGCCCTGCCATAATAACACTTCTGCAGCTTCTCACAGCATGAGGCCTGGCCTCCATCCTAAGCAATCTCCAGGTTCCACCATACATTTTACCTGACAAGACTCCTAACTGCTTGGAAGCTGGTTTGGAAGAAGGCAGGTTGAAGGCAATGCTTTAGAATTCAGCAGTCTTCCCTGGTCACAAGTCCCCAGAGCATGTCCTTGTATCTCTAGCGCAGGCTGAAGCCTCAGGAACAGCAGCTTTGAGCACCTGCCTGAATACCTTTCTCAGCAAGGACAGATCTAGAAGTGTGGTGAAACAGTGTTCTGCAGTGGAGGAGCAAACCAAGGGTCTTTGCAAAGTACCAGCTCTGGATCCAGTAGAGGGGAACAGAGTAAACATGGTCTACATGCCCATGCTCCTGCTCCTCAGCTTTAACTTAACACCAGTCCTTTACTTTCTCCCTTATCCTGCAGGATATGGCAATCCATTACACAATTGCTGTCTTTTAACCCAAAAGCAGCTGTAATTTAGCAACAAATGAAGTTATCCACACCAATATTCAGCCAAATGCATGAAGACAATTCAGCATTAATCTGCCCTATACAGAATATAATTTATTATTGTTTAAACAATACATAATTGGCAACTTCAGCCATCTACCAGATATCAGCAAGTCACAAGAGACATTTTTTATGGAACATCAGACGTCCTGCCGGAAGATTCATTACTAAATGTTGGGAAACTCTTCACAAAACCTGGAATGGTTGCAGGCAGATACAGACAACACAGCACACCAGCCAGCTCTGACAAATGAATCATCAAATGAACAATGGCCATGAAACAGTTTCAGGTAAGCCTCTCCTGCTGTTCAGATCCATACTTCCTGCTGCAGGTAAACAACCACATAAGGTGCAGTGTGATCACAATGCTGCAGTAAGTGCATGACATGTGCACATTTGGCATTGCTCTCTCCTTCCAAGTCAACTGGTTATGCTACCAAAAGACTCTGTTAATGACAAAGCTAATGTAATTAACCTTTGCATGCTGTTGGTAATCAGCAAGCGAGTACAGAGAGCCACTGCATTTGGGTAGGGCATGAAGACAGCCCTGTGTTGAGACACAATGGCATTTAAGCAGGGACAACGCCTCGTACAGCACAGAAGAGCAGATGGGAACACAAGCTCCAAAGATACTGCAAGGTCTAATCCTTGCTGTGCCTGCCCAAAGGCCTGCCTGAGTTCAGTAAATTACAGTTAATCAGTTCTCTTGCTAGAATATCATGGGGAACACACACAGACTTATGAGAGGCAAATGCATTTACTGAGCTGTTACAAACATGGGGACATTTTATAGGTTGTAATTCTTTTTCTTTCCTAATTGGAAATCTCTCTTCCTTTTTCTTCCTATACCAAACAGATGGCTGCAATATCAGGATTTATTTTCTTTTTGAGCAAATCTTTCTGAAAAGTTCCTTCTCATGCTTTTCCAATGAAAATTCACCATTTCACCCCCAAAACACTGCTCTCTGCCCTCTATTCCAGAGCAATGACAACATTTCAGACAGCTTTAGCTACTTCAAGCCTGAAAGCTGTATGCACATAAAGTGTTCTGTCTCTCAGTTCTATGACATGAGTCAAAATGTAGGAGCCCAGATAAGCAGACAAGGTGCAGAGCAGCATATTAATCATCCCAGCACAGAGCTTAGGCTGACCCCACTCAGCATCTAGAAACGCCTGCTTCACAGGAAGTATGGTCTGAGGCTTAACAGCAGCCATGGCAAAAGCACCTCTGTAGCAGCCTCTTGCTCTCTATTCTGACAAATCACTATGGACCCCGACAGTCTGTAGAACACCCCAACCTTGGGCACGTCTTTCACACAGACACTTAGCCTCTGACTCAGTCAATGTAAACAGGTAGCTGGGTTCCTCTAGATACATAAGGTCTTGATCTCTATGCTCAGAAGCACTGGGCAGAGCTACAGAGGAGATTTAGTTTTGATATAAGGAGGAAATTCTTTATTGTGAGGGTGCTGAGGCACTGGCACAGGGTGCCCAGAGAAGCTGTGGCTGCCCCATCCCTGGCAGTGTTCAAGGCCAGGTTGGACACAGGGGCTTGGAGCAACCTGCTCTAGTGGAAGGTGTCCCTGCCTGTGCCAGGGGGATGGAGTTGGATGAGCTTTAAGGTCCCTTCCAACTCAAACCAGTCTGTGTACTTCACCTGAAAGAGGGGAGATTGAGATTAGACATTAGGAGGAAGTTCTTCACCATGAGGGTGCTAAGGTGCTGGCACAGGGTGCCCAGAGAAGCTGTGGCTGCCCCATCCCTGCCAGTGTTCAAGGCCAGGTTGGACACAAGGGCTTGGAGCTTGTTCTAGTGGAAAGTGTCCCTGCCCATGGCAGAGGATTGGAACTGCATGAGCTTTAAGGTCCTTTCCAAATCAAACCAGTACAGGATTCTATGACAGCAATCCTTGGACTAATAGCAAATCTGTCACTTCTACGATCTGCAGCAATGCTGCAAACTTTTTCTCTTCTCTGAATCAATCAAGATCATGTTCCTGGAGCGCTCTGAAGATACAACCTTACATTTTGAATGTTCCCTCCGTGCCCATATGCTCCCCAGCACAGAAGAGATCTCTTTCAGAGGCATCTTCTCCAAATCATTTGAAAATGAGAAAATGCAGCTTCTGCTGCCACAGTAACATGTGGAGAGGAAATTAACCCACCAGGTCCTCCTTGACTTTTGTGATGTGACAAGATTTATTGCCTATAATCTATCACCAAGAAAAGAACTCTGGTGCCCTGCATCATTCTGCTCTACATTAAACACTTGCTTTTTGGCGGGTATATTAACACAGTCAGTAATTAGTGCTGTCAGAATACTTAAATAATTGCCTTCTAATGCAAAACCCTGCAACCGGATTCCCCTCCACAGCAATTGAACACTCTCATCAATGAGGTCATTTAAAAACTCATCCTCAGAGTGCAGGTTTCTCCAAAGGAGAGCAGAACTTGGGAAATGCAAGGCAGCTGGACAAAGACAGCTATGAATGACTGCAGGAAAAGCTCAAGCACCAGCCACCTCAGAGCTGTTTCACATCCCCAGGGACATGTCCCTCTTCTACCCAAAACACTCATTCCTCTGGGCAGATTTCCTCCACTCAAGCAGTTCAATAAAAGCACTGGCAGTATTTGGCTGCCATCTTCAGTCAGCCACTGGCTTCTATCCCTCAAGAGGAGAGAGTCATGCAAGGTTAGGCATGAGGCTGATCCTACCTTTTATCTGGAAACCACACAGAGCTTAAATGCATCCTTAACTGTGGTATGAGCCAATGAATGTCATAAGAGATAGGTCATGACCAACTTGGAAGCCAAGTTCCATTACTCAAAAGGCTGCAAATGATTCAAACCTCTGTTTGATCAGGGCACTGCTGGAAGAACAAAGACAGCTCCTCTGCAATGGCTGCATTTCAATGGGAGGTGATCAGATCCACACATAACTCACTATCATGGTTAGCTCTATCAGTCTTTAAAGTTGCTCATCACAACAAATGCTATGACACAAATGGACTGTCTGAAGTCTCTTCATTAACTATCACTATATATATATATATATATATATATCTCTGGAGATGGTGGATTCACCCTGGTTGGATAACAAGTGACCATGAAAGCTGCTGCGTCATTGCCCTCCTCAACTGGACAGGTGAGAGAAAATGCATCAAAAGGCTCTTGTGTCAAGATAAGGACAGGGAGAGATCACTCACCAATAACCCTCACAGGCAAAACAGACTTGACTTGGGGAAATTAGTTTCATTTGTTACCAATCAAATGAGAAAAGGGTAATGAGAAATAAAACTAAACCTTAGAAACACCTCCCTTCACCTTTCCCCTCCTTAGCTTTATTCCCCCATTCTCTATCTCCTGTCCTCACAGCAGTGTGGAGGAACAGGGACTAGGGTTGTAGTCAGCTCATCACATATTTTCTCTGTCAATCCTTCCTCATGGGGAGACTCCTCCTCTGCCCCAGCAAGGGGTCCCTCCTCCACAAGCTTCTCCAACACAAGTCCTTCCCGCAGGCTGCAGTTCTTCATGAGCTGCTCCAACGTGGGTCCCTTCCATGGGGTGCAGTCCTTCAGGACAGGCTGCTCCAGGCTGGGGTCCCCTGCAGGGTCACAGCTCCTGCCACTAAACCTGCTCCAGTGTGGGGACCCCACAGGGCCACAGCTTCCTTCAGGCATTCCCCTGCTCTGGCATGGGATCCTCCAAGGGCTGCAGGTGGGTATCTCCTCCAAAGGCTGCAGGAGCACAGCCTGCCTCACCATGGTCAGCACCACGGGCTGCAGGGGAATCTCTGCTATGGCATCTGGAGCAGCTCCTCCCTCCTTCTGCACTTGGTGCCTGCAGAGCTGTTGCTCTCATATGTTCCAGCTGCAATTTCTTCTGCACTTCAGCTTTTTTCCTTCTTAAATATGTTGTCACAGAGGCAACCACCACTGCTGTTGGGTTCAGCCTTGGCCAGTAGTGGGTCTATCTTGGAGCCAGCTGCAGTGGTTCTATTGGATATAGGGGAAGCTTCTAGCAACTTCTCACAGAAGCCACCCCTGTAGCCCCACACTATAGAAACCCAATACACAACACTGGAGTATGTTCTACATGCTTGCATCAGGACCCTACAAGCTTGGGAAAAGCAGCTTTCACACTTTAACAGTCTCCCAGACAAATTTTTGTGCTTATCACTCATTTGCTTTTATCTTACCCAGAAAGACCAGTGTTGAATACAACTTCCCCTGCTGTGGAGGATGGATAGCCAAAAGAATAGCCCTTCATCTTCATCCCATCTTCCAGCACCAAGTTCGCAGTCTGCAATTGGAGAAAGGCACATGAAAAGACTCAAACACAAGAACAGGCTTGATGTTTATAGAGGTAATACCCAAGAAACCTGCCTTTTATGCCTTACTTGGCAAATATTCATGCCCCTTTCCCAATCCAGCTCCCAAGATACAGTTTCCTTTACTAGTCTCCTGATGCTCATTTTCCTTCCAACACTTGGGACACATCATGCTCCTAATGAGGGCAAGGCAAACCTCAGCGCGAGCAGAGCATGTGCTGTTATCACTGTGGGATCACCCTTCCATATCACTTTAATTTCTTCCCCCCATTATACCTTGGAATTAACCAGGTGTAGAGAAAGGATCACCTCTCCTCCCAGTTTTTGCTCAAGGCTTGCTTAGCCTGTCCACATATTGGTTGGGAAACCACCTGGGAACTCCAGCTTCCACCAAAAAAGTAATGAGTACATGTACACCAGAAATGACAGAATGAGCTGGGAGATTCCCTCACACAGCAGCATCACCGGTGACATGCAGGGGGAGACAGAAAGCAAAGCTGGAAATAGATCTGCTTCTATAGATCCGGGCTTAAAAGAACTTGATGATGAACCTTTTGGGCCCTGAGAACTTCTCTTCTGGAATGCCAGCACAGCTGCCTCCTGGGCACAGAGCTGCAGTCACAGAGTGACCACCAGTGCAAAACCCCACAGGGGATGTGCCAAGCATGTCCACCAGGCAGCAGCTCTCACCATGATTTAACTTCATACTAGGGTTTTGTTTCAGAACAATTCCTCTTGCTGGGATTTTAAGAAGAATCAAGATCAATTTGCTGTAGAAAGGAGCAGAACTACTTTCCATTAGCCATAAATCAGACGAACAATCACAGCAAGGAGAAATTTCATTCCCAGCATTGAACATTTTGTAACAATTATGGCAAACATTCATCTCGAGCTCCTCTGCAGTTACAAATACTGCACAGATCAATTACTAATGTACTGAAAAACATAGTAAAAATCAAACTGCACCAACAGGTAATTGAATTCTGTGCATCTGGGATGCTTTTAGCCTTGCATTTTTTCCTCATTAATGCCAAACATCCAGGCATTCTCCAAAGGTTCAGAAATCACTGAAGTGTCAGCAGTGCCAAAAACCCTTCCCTCCCCAGTTATAAATACGTCCCCTAGGTTTAGCCCAAATAAAACTTACAGTTTGGTCAGCTCCCATATTTCACTAAGCTTCTTATTACAGAAAGCCTAAACCATTACAAAGCACAGAGGTCACTTGGGTGCCTCAGACTGGGCTTTGGACAGGCCCCCTGCCCTTTCTGAAGCCTGCTGAAAGCCAAGCCCATGCTGCAGACATGGGAGACTGGCTGTAAGAACTGGTTTTCCTCAGCCTTGGAAGAGATGGACCCTTTCCCCCCACAGGCCACATTATTTGAGCCCACCCAAACATCAGCTCCAGTTCAAGCAAGTCCTGCCCTTTGCTGGCACAAGTTAGGATAATGATTTGAATCACAGTCCCAACTGCAAACAGGCTGGGAAAATCCTTCAGGAAGCAACATCCATAATAGTGGAATGACCAGAAAAGTTAAGATCCATCTAAATCCTGAGGGGCCAAAACCTAGTGCAATCAGTGTGACCTCTAGAACCTTACTCTCTTTTTAGTATTTGACACAAATCTGCATGTCTTCACTCCCACCACAGACCACCTGCCTTTCTACACACTAGCACAGAACCCATTTCTGTTGAACAGAAACCCCCATTGTACTATTAGATCCCCTACACAGTGTTTAAGTAATGCAGAATGTCCCCGAGCAGCCATAACCTGCCTGCAAGTTCAGCTATCGCAAGGGATAGATGTTCAAATGCTTCCCTCCCTTACTTGATTTATTATTCTTAATTAAGTGGCTGGTTTGTTTGTTGAGCATTCTAGAAGCAATTATTCCTGCTTAGATTTCTAGCGGAGGTGTTAGCATCTCCCCACGCTGCCAGCCTACCTTGCCTCTGCACCTATGTTTTAATGTGGAAAGTGATTTACAGGCTAGCAAGAAGGCCAGCTGGCTCTGTCAGGGATTAGCTGAGAGAGATTTTTGCTTTCACAAAGCCAACAAGAAATAAACAAAGCTCCTAAAGCTTCTGTGAGGACCTTTTGTCTCCAGCCTTCTCAGAAGCAACCCCATGAAGTTTCACTCAAGTCTCTGTTGTAGTCTCAACTGGAATGTTTCTTCCGCACACACCCCCAGCGTGAGACATGGTTTGCAACTTGATTTGTCCCTCCCACATGCCAGTAGCTTTACCTTTAGCAGAGCTCCCTGTGCTATGGAGAGGCTGTTGGGCTCTTGAAGAGCTTTGAGGATGGAGATGGCTAACAGAAAGGGTCATGGTCTTGGCTACAGCATTGCTATATTTGGTGCATTTTGTCAAAGCAGATTCCAAAGTTAACTAGTTCAGGCCCTACTTCACTAAGGACTTCCCACATGAAGTAAACACTGTAGCAGTTCAAAAACAAACCCAAAACAATATGTAACAAACCAGATTAACTTAGTTGCAGTTAGTTTCCTGCCCTTCCCATCTACACAATGGATAATGGAGACTTGCAACAGCTCAAAATATCTGCAGTACAATTTACTTCTTAAAGTATGTCTGCTATAACCCCCTGTACTGGAAAGTGAACAGGCTATTTCTCCTCTTTTCTACTTGCTTCACAAAGTAACCAGCCAAGGAAGTCACGTCTTTCCCCTCCAAAGAAATCCCTCAGCTTATCTTGGCAAGGGCAAGCCAAATACTGAACGCTGGCTTGGAGAGCTGCGTGTATGCAGAGTGCCAAAGCCAGAATGGACACTGCTGTACAGCAGAGACACAGCTGGGTCTTGGTTTCAGTGCAGACCAGTTTCTTTCCTTCCAGTAGAAGATGGCAAAACATCTCCTGTCTAAGGCAGGCCATGATTCCATGCAGGATGATAGCCTCTTGGCGTACAGTTCTGGCTGGCTACACAACAGCCAAAATACAAGTACAGAAGCATCCAAAAGACACCAGACTTCTTCTACAGTAGAAAGATGGTGCCAGGACTGTGCTACATCACTGTCTAAAGACCAAATAATCAGCAACAAAGGCAGATTATTTCTCTTCGACAGAAAAATGTCTCCTCTTGTGAGTACTCTGGAAAACTGTCTGAACATTGCTAAGACTTCCTTTGCTAACCCCTTATATATATATAGTTTTATTTTGGCACATTTGCTTCTGGCTAGTATTAAGAAGAAAGGGAAAGACTAAAGAATGGATCTTGGGATAAACCAAAGAAGAGTCGCTTATGCTAACTTTGGGGAGAAGCTTTGGATGAGTTCCTTTACCATCCAAACCAAAGCAGAAAGGCAACACGAGTACCATGGTAGAAAAGTCACAGCTCCTACAACTTAACCTCTTCTTAAGGCTGTTCACACCAATGCCACAAATATTTGTGACAAAAATCAGAGGAGGGGGAATGTAGAGGCACCTCAGAGAAGCCACTCAGCACCCAAGGAAATGAGCACCCCTCTGTGTCCCCACTGTAGCAGCTCACTAAGTTCCCCCAGTCTTTAAGGGAACAGGCCCTGTTTTACCTCCCCTTCACTCCCACCTCCAGAGGGAGAATAGTGGAGTTATTTTCTCAGTTACTTTTCACCTGTCTCAAAATACATGTGAAAGCCCCTTTTACAGTAACCTGAAATAGTTTCTACAGCCAGAGCTCAAAAATTTCCTTCTTCTCCCTTTCATTTTTAACTATATTTTTAGCTTGTTCCTGGTGGTTTTTATAGCTCTCCCAATCCTCTCCTTACTCATCCAGCTATACTCCTACAAGCCACCTATTTATTGCATGTACTACTCTTTACATCCCCACTTAACTATATTGGCCTCAGATGAGCATTAAATGAGAGGAGCTTTGAGCTGCAGTCTCTCTGCCCATTCCTGAATTAGCAAGCAGCTTGGTTACCTCCACACCAGTGATGCTAAGCACCCCTTCAGAAAGCCCATAGGGCTCTCTGATCTTTTGTCTGTGCCCCTCTTTCACTCCTGGATGCTTCATCTCTCCATTACAACTGAAGGGTGGGATGCAATAGGGAAATACGGACCCGCGTGTCCCCACACCTCAGACTGCTCACCTACAGTTGTGTTTCCCCACACAGGCTGAGTTAACTGGACAGAAAAGGGACTTGGGAAAAGAATTATTAGGCTTTCTAATAACTACCTCCTCTCCCTAATGCTTTCTAATACTTTACTTAGCTTATATGTTGGTTAGAAACACATTTTCATTGTATTTTGTTATGCTCCCTAAAATAGCCTACTGAGAAAAAGCAGTAAAAGGCAACTAAAGCTCATTTAAGCCTGCGATAATGAGAGAATGGGATCATTACCTGTACCATCATTAGCCTACACATCTTAATTACTTTGCATTTCACTCCATCTCCAAACTTCTTACACATATCTATTACCTCTAATGATGGCTGGAACCCCGAACCCAGCCATAAGTCACTACTTGGTCACTTGTCTCACAAATACAGTTAACTTCCACACTTTGACACAAAGCCATGCAATAGGTTGGCTTTTTAAGACCTCTTCCTTAACTTTTCCCTCAGGTCTGCTGCTTTATTGCTTCATATATGTATTAGAGAGTCTCTTGTACTTCTGCTACCGTGGCAAAAAAAGTGTATAAGCCAGTCACTCTCTCAAAGCAAAATCCCCAGGCCAGGAAAGCTTCACGGCTTTGTATTCCAGATCCTGTATTCAAATGAAATCATGCAGCCCCTGCAAAGGTGGTACTAAAAATCCACAGCCAAGATCTCAAGAGCCACAGGCTCTTAAACTACAATAGGTATTCGCCTTCTTAGTCTCCGTGATTACAAGCATCCACTCTGACAGCACAAACTCCTGCAGGTATTGAACTCATATAACCAAGTCTAATAAGAAAACAGCTTTCCCCAGTTGTAATGCCAAGGCAGGAGTTGTCACATAATACGTGTCAGAAAGAGACTTCTGGGGCTGGCTGGCTAGCACCACATCTAGTGAGCCCAGTGCCAGGACAGATGCTTCACCAGACTCAGCATTTCAGATGCACAGCAGGTCTTGGCCACACTGCAATAGATCCTGTCATACACCTTGAAACAGAAGAGGGGCCCAGTTCATTCTGACCCACTTCAGGTATATCTGCAATTGCTGGGAGCAAGGTTAAAATAGGGTTTGGGGTTTCACTTGGCATTGCTTTCTTAACAGGTATTCATTCTCCTTGCCTTCAGCATTGGTGTCATTGGCTTTAAGCCATCAGTCTTTAGCTTTACAAGTACAGAATTAGGTAGATGCTAGAACAGCTGGTACTTTTAACTCCATCAGAGTAGGGCAGCAGTTTTCCACAAGCATGAAACTTCTTAATTGGATGCCTCAGCATTATGAAATGTGACCTTGTAGGTCTACCACCGTGTAGTCCTTGAATGAGTGACAAAACACGTACCTAACACCATCAATCTGTCATTTAAGATGCCAAATCCAAACTTCAGATGCTAATCCGTCAGTGTAAGAATTCATCAGATCCAGCCTACTTCAGGTGCCTACCAGAATTATCCTGTGTCTGTTCAAAAGGCGATGCAGCAATCCTAACCATGGCCTACAAAGTTTTGCCAGTGGAAGATGCTTTTTACCACAGCATACTTATAACCACAGCCACGGTAAATCAAGAGCTGATACACTCGTGCATTCACAAAGAGTTGTCTACCTCTCTAATTAATCTCAGAGCCACCATAGTTCCCAATACATCAAAAATAAATCCTCTGTGAATCCAACGGGATTAATCACATGCTTCAAGTGATGCATGTTTTTAAATCTGATTCATGCTAACATGGACTGAAAGACCTGCTCTATTAGCTATCAGTCCTATAGAAGGCTGGGCTGTTTCTAAAGAAGATACCATATAGTAATTAACTGAAACCCTGAACTTCCACCTTCTGGTGCAATTTACCCTGTAATTTCCATTCCAGACTACACAAAAAGCGTGTTTGCTTTGCTAATATAAGCATCTAGCCAAGCAATTCCTTTGCTCAGGGTTCAGACAAACCTGCTTTGGTCCAGATAAGCCCAGTTATCTGTAGCAAGCTATCCCTCAGCATACCAAAGCCATCTATTAAACCACAGTAGCTCAGTTACTGTTACCTTGATGCTCAACAACCTCGTAGCAGCCCTTGAGAAACTCCAGTGATCAGCAGACAAATTGCAAAACTCCCATCTGCCTTTCAAAGTCTTCACCACTTTGCAAGCTGTCAAAATTCTTGTCATCTTGAAAGTTGCTGATGGGCAGCTGAAGTTTACAGAAGATGAGACAAAACAACAGTCTGCTTGTAGGTATTTCTTCAGGGTTTGGTGCAGACAATACACTCTTGCAGCTCACATGAGAAGAGGACAGAGACACAGAGAGTGTCGTGGACTGACTGTACAGAGCTGCCCAACACCTTCCCATTTATTCTGCCATCAAACACCTCTGGTGCAGCCCCACCTCCTCCCGCCCCTCAGAGAGGGGCTTGCTTAGACACCCTTGCAACACGTTCTTCAGGCTGGTCTCTAAGCACTGCTGCAGGGGTTGTATCATAGGCCAGGCTTGCTGGAAGACGGCAAAACCTGCTGGAGAAATCACAGCTACAGCAGTGAAGACAGTTCTCACTCTGAAATAAACACTTTATGTTTCAGGAAGAGACAACAGCACCACTTGTTCTCCTCACAGCACATGGTCTGAGGAAATTAAGAGTCTGTTCATAGTGTGCTTTTGAGTGCTCTTCAATGTGCGATCTGGGGTCTGCATATTAGCTAGTTGGACAGCCTGAGGCTGCTGCAAGCTATTTGTACTAAAGGAAGTACAAATGCCACCAAATTCTGTGGAAAGCCATAGTCTTTTATTCTGTTTGGAGAACAGACAGGCACCAGCCCTAGCACAGGTCCCTTTCTGCCCCTTCCCAAAGAAATGAAAAGCACATCACCACGAAAAATAAATGGCTACAAGAGAAAAACCTCTTCTTGGTAAATTTCAATGGACAGCAGCTGAAATAAGGTGAAGTTTTCCATATGCTTTCCCCTGATTGACTACAGACCTTTGTGACTATCACTTCTGAAAACAGGACACCTAAACTATAAGAAACATGTTGCTCATTATCCAGACATGAAAACGCCTAATGAAGGCAAAAGCTTTGGGAGAAACATGTACATTACTGATACTCTTCAAGAACAAAAACTGGTGAGGCCTGTTTTGAAACCCAGGGGATTAAAACTTCAATTCACTCAGACACAGGAGGAAAAAGAAAGCAAACCAAGAGATATAAGCTTTTTTGCAGCTGGACACATACTGTTGTAAAGGATTTAGTTGACCTTTTCTAATCATTGACAATAATAATCAGGACTTCTTTGTACACAGTGGTTTGAGATTAGTCAAAATTCATGCCAGCATCACATACAAATATTTCCTGCACAGCTCATTCTAGCACCAGGTTGAACAGTCATGCACACAGTAAGACAAATAAGAGAGGGCAGTGGGGTTGGGTACTCTCTGGTACACGGACAGCTTACTGGAAACTTGAATGAGAAAGACACATGGGAAAGCCCCGAATCCAGGTGACTGAAAGAGACACAGGGTGGAAGACAGACTGGGTGTGGAGGAGCTCACTGCTTTAATATGAGCTTTCCATGTGTGCAGAGCTGGGAGAAGCAAGTCCACAATGTTTTCTGGTAACCTGAGTGCAGTTTAGAAAAGACAGAACTGTTTTTCCTACAAGAAGATACCTGACAATCATTCTGATTCATAGAAGGAGCTCGAGACACGCAGATTCTGCTTTTTGCAACAACAACAAAATACAGAGAACTGGGAAATGGGGGTTGGTTTGGGTTTTTAGCTCTATTTGTTTGGGTCCAGCCTGTAGAGATCCAGGTTGGAGATACACACAGGAGACAGAAGGTACAGAAAGCAAAGCCATGCTTACAAGCAAATGGATGGCAAAGACCTGTATCTTGTACTGGAAAGGTCATCTGAATATACAAGCACACGTGCATTCACACATGCAATTCAGCAGCCAGCTTTCTTCCAAAGTCACATTTCACATTCGGTTAGCTTTACACCACCAGGAATGTCAGACACAGCATTTGGAAGGTTACAAACGCTACCCTTTGTTATGGCCATACTGAAGGGCAAATTCTGCACTCCATTTTACTCTTTGCCAACATGAGGCAGTTATTTTGGCCCTGGGTATAGATGTGCTTGAACTAGAACCAATTCACACTGGCAGTTTTAGCACCCTAACTGCTAATTCCCAACTATCCTCTCTCCACCACCTGAGTTTCAGTGTGGCTACACAAGGAGACAGATCCAGCTTAAAACAAACCCTTGCCTTCTGCCACTAGGCCATTCATGAACATAAGGAGCGAGGGGAAGAAGAGCCATGCCTTTTGGCAGAGCAGCATCTTTTGCCAGGTGAAAAGAGCTGCATAACCACATAATGAACTGGCTTCAGTTATGGATCTGGAATACATACATAGACATATATGTTAAGGACAAAATGCTATATGGGGAATAATAGGCAAAAAATGCTTTCCTCTCCACTGCAAGGATGCCTCACTGACAACTGCTATAGATTTGACACTGCTGTCTTCCCTTTCATTCACCCACGTTTTATTATCAAAATTAAGCCCACCTCAGACCTTCTGAGATTAGCAAGGTTATCCTTCCAGTCCATGAACCACCTTCCCTTTTAAAGCCTCCACCATTACAGAGGAACTTCCCTCTGCCAGCAAATCAAGCTATTTGTCTCACTGCGAACATGCTAAAAAGAGGTGATGAACTGTTGACTCTAAGGCCAGGAAAATATACCAGGTATTCCTGAGAGAAGCCCCAGTTCACAAAAACCTGTCAACATACAAACAAGCCTTCTGTGGTTTGCGCAGATCTTATGTATGTGCTTTGCTTAACACAAAGACCAGAAGAGGCAGAATCACGTATTCCTTTCACTTTCGCTCTATAAACTCAGCCTTAGTTTTGGAATTCCTCGCTTGCTGCAGGGAATCAATAAGGAAAACGGAACCAACCATAGAAGAGTGGAAAAAGGAGAGCAGCAACCAAATGGTTTTATGGAGGTGCAACCATGCTGCCTGAGCTTAAAACCTGCCTGCCAGTACATGACTTGCAATTGTATCACCCCTTCAGGAAAGGAAGTTTGGGCAGGGCTCCGGAAGAAGGATTCTCATCAGAGAAATCAGGAACGTAAAGCCACAAAGGCAGAAGAGTCACTCTTCTGTGAACTGTAAGACCAATTCAAACAGTGGAGGGGGAACTATTCACAATTCAGGCTTCCTTAACAGGGTCTTCACTTGGCATAGGTGTTTAGAAAAAGGCAAACTACCTTTTGTTTCATATTCATTTACACTATATCCTACACAGATAGGAAGTAGGACAAGGACAGCAAAGCGCTCATTAAAATGAGGAGCTTTTTCTTACTGTTTACAAGTAAAAAAACACCAGGAATTAAATTTGTCACACAGTCCCACTGAACTGTAAAGATCAAACAAAATCAGTGGTCTATGGCTTTGCAAATCCCCAGGGCCAAGAGATCCAAAGCAAGCTAAGTGCCTACATTTCAGAGGCTTAAAACAAACTGCAAACTGCTTGATCTTCAGAAGTGCTCAGAGCACTTGCGGCCCTGCTTAGGTGCCACAGGACTGCTACTCCAGAAGAGAAGCTTGGAAGACCAGAGATCAGGGCCAATTTGTGGGCATAGTGGCCCAGATTCATGATAGTGCAAGACCAAAGTAACTGCCTCCAGCTCAGTGGAGCTCCAGAGGCTAAAATCTCTCCTGGACTGGGATCAGTGTAACAAGCAGTCCATGTGAATTGCTTGGACTCTCCTTCTTGTGAGATCAGAGAGGAGTTTTTTTCCCCCTTTAAGTGTCCTTCAGATGCTTTCAGAAATCACTCCTGCCATCTGTCAGGTTCTGTCCTGCCCCAACTAAAACATATTTAACACATTTCAAAAATATTGAGTGGAAAAGCAGAATAGTTGAAGGTGGCAGCACAACAGAAATCCTCTGCTGCCACAGGGAATAAGATAAATGCTCTTCTCCATCCCTACAGCTAGGAGAAAAGCCCTCAGTGATTTGGAAACCCTGCCTTTAAGGCAAGCTCCACGTGCTTTCCAAGGAACTTTCAGGAAGAGTTTGGGAAGTACCTGAAAAATATTAAGATTTGCTATGTATTTTCTAACCAGGTGTTAGTTTATCAAGCAATATCACTGCAATGGATACAGGAATAGGTTTGAGCCAGATAACAATTTCTGTTCTTAGCACATGGCTAACAACTCCACTACCTCAGAGACCACAACTTAGTCTTTTTGCAGTATGTAGGGGGGACTAAACTAAAGTTCTCTTTTTCACATGCAAATGAACTAACAGCATCCAGGCTTCCCCATAACTTGACCCTCTTGGGTTGCTCCAAGACAGAAAGCAAGCTCAGGTACACTTTCAGATGGGCGGCTTTGAGCCAATCTCAGATTAAATGAAGCATTTCAAACAAAACTCACAATGTCTAGGAAACACAGTAATTGCAACGTAAAGTGCAACAAGCCAAGGATTCCAAAACTAAGGCTGATCTTCGCTTGAGTGTATAGCAGGAAAATGAAAGGAATAAGAATCAAGTGGAGATCTTGCCCTTTGGCTCTCCTTAATTCTGTTATTTAAGCCACAGCCAGAACAGGTGGGTTTTTTCTATACAGTTTGTTCTATTTTAGAGGAGGTCTGGGGGAAAGGGTATTTTAAATTTTAATGGGAGAGGTTCATAGCAGATCTTTAGATTGGGGTGCTGCATTTTGACTCACCCTTAGCAACTCTCATGACCGTGACAGGAATGATTGAACATAAACTCACATGATTTATTTTTTAGATGGAAACAATTCCAAGTGACAAGGCAAGAAGAAGTAAGAAGTAAAAATAGACTGCTCCTAGCTGCCCACTGTGTCTTTATAGGTGTGCTCCTGCTTGAAGCTTGTTTCCATCCAACTCAGTGCCTTTCTGAGATGTAAACTCCCCTTTCCTCTCTGGTCCCTAATCCTTTCTACTACCGAGTCCTGGCTTTTTAATCTCTGCCTCCTTACACAGTTTCTCTGCATGAATACCATTCTCCCAGCTCCGTGATGGGACTTCTCCTGCCAATCACACTTCATGGGTCCTGAAAGCTGCTTTCTCTTGAGCACACTTCCAAAGGAAAAAAAAAAAAAAAAAAAAATCACCCTTCCCATCTACAGAAGTTCAGTTTCCCCCATTAGTACTCAC